CATCAGAGATTCAGATAAAGCTGCCTCTCCAATGTCTACAGCTTTGCAGAGTTTTCCATCTGCCCAGGGAAATGCCACTTCATTTGTTTTCACCTCTCAAGTCACTACCACCCTGTCAACGGCAGCTACATTAATGGGAGCCACCTCCAATGGAGGTATCACAACTTCAGAAACTGCACCTTTACTACAAACTGCCATATCATATGAAAATGCTGGTGATTCCGAGAGTTTGACACCTGACAGATTGGTTATCATAACAAATAGCAACTCTGATGATGACATCAACATAACAAGTCAACAAAAGAGACAAAAAGCATCAAGACCCTTGGTCACCAGCTGTGCAGGTCGATCAACAGAAGTCTTGGACATAAAGATGAAGAAAGCTCAGACTTGCCACTTGGATCATTTGGATTCTGCTCTCAGTAAGAATGATTTTGCTGTACCAGTGAGTGCATCATCAGCTTCATTTCTTCCATCAGTAGCGTCACCTGTCTTTAAACAACAACCAACTAAAAATGTTCACAATCAGCAGATTAACAAGCTCGGAGCCATCACTAGTTTTGAGAAATCTATTGTTTCCATGTCGTCGGTAGCTACAGAGGGAAGAACGATCAACATGGGTGATACCAAGTCATCCAGCATCATCCAAAGTACCAACTCCAACTCATCTTCCCAGTCTAGTAGAATTCCCTCTCAAGTCATCAGAAATCAGAGGTTCCTGTCCAGTAAATTTTCCAGCTCTACTTCCTCAACTCCTGTTGGTGTCCATCATAGTCCCACATTGCAGGACCATCTGATAAAACGTACCATGACTGACATTATGTCTGCAGCAGAAGGTGGTTCTCAGAAGTTTACCAGCTATCAGACCCAGGCCATCTCAAATAACAAGCTGAGTGGGAAGTTGTCAAAGGATGGTGATCTTCCTTCTCAAGAACACAGATGCTGCAACTCTGTTCAAGATATTTTAGCAGAAGAAACTTTGAATAAGAAGCTACATCATGCATCATCCCCGAAAGTACACATATCCAGAAAGAGGCTGAGGCCGGATCAATCTGAGGTTGACTGGGTCATCAAGGACAAGGAGTATCTGTCAACACATTGTACTCATCATGTTGAGAACCCTCAAAAACGTCGCCGATGGTCAGAAGGAGTAAGGAATACCCTCAAGTCAGGAACTTCTGAAAGCAGGATACAGATTACAAGTATTGTCCCTGAGAACAAGGACCACATGTTTCAGGAGAAGGTTGCCGAACCAGACAGCACTGAAGGAGCTAAAACTTCTGTAAACACTCCAAGACATGACAAACATGGGAACTCCCAAAAGAAACCTTCCAGTAAGGAAGTACACGACTATTTCTCGGTACGATATGCTCCACTGCGGAAACTGAGGAACACGCCACCGATTGTTTTTAGAGGCAAGATTTATGAGCAGAGGGTTCGAGAGATATTGTCATTTTCAGATGTTGGTGTAAGAAATGCATATGATTATCAGACTTGTCAAATCCTACCAGCAGCCATCGCATCCGCATCAACCCAGACATCTCCAAGATACTTTGCTCGTGAGTTGGTCTTCATGATCTTTACTATTGGAGAACTTCAAGGCAGAAAGATTGAATCCCATAACACAAGGAATCGCCTCACGCAGTCACAGATTCTGAACCCAACCAAGATATCTGCAGTGAAAGATGTTGTACTTCACAGATTCCCAATTGAGGAGTTCCATTGGCAGGAGAGATGTATTCCATTCATTAACGAGTCTCTGAAGTCATTGTTTCATAGGAAGTTAACACATTCTGCCTTCAAGTGGATAGAAGGAATACAAGACTGCTTACGTGGTGGTAGTGCTGCTGCTGCAGAGCACAGTTGAATCATACAAACTTCTCTGTGGACACTTTGTTATCTTTACAAAATATGTCCTTGGTATGATTTCATTGAATTGTGATCAGATTGGCTGACTTTAAGTGAGGAAGAATTTTTCAATATTATTCTCAGCATTGTTTGATGAATAATGTGATTGGATTACATTACATCAAACTAAATGAATTTAGTTATATATATCTCATCCCACTCAAAAAGATTGTGATGTAAACTGTGCCAGAGTGAGTCCCTCTGGATGTTCCTTTCTCCATGTGATCACATTGTACTGTTACATTGAACTTTATTATGAAGTTTATGTAAAGTTTGCCACAATGAATCAAAGAATTGAAAAAAGATGTTCTCAGATTTTCTCAAATATAAGCTGTAATACTTTGTTTTAACTCTTTTAGAAATAATTAAGTTATATCATCCGCAGACTTCATTTTTTTCATTTTAGTGCTTTTTAGGAAAAACACAGTAAATTAAATATCTACCTGTATTTACAAATGCCCATTATGACAAATTTTCAGCCTTTCACAACCTCTTCAAGAAAAATGTTTTATTTCTTTTAAAGAAACAATGAGACCTAAAAAGCACTTGTCATTAGGAAAAATATCGGTAATGATAGTGTAGTATGGCTGGCATTGTGCTTTAATTTTTGAATTCATTGCTTATGTATATGCTCACATTTCAATTGGGAATCTCCTCCCCATATTTTTTTTTAGATATTACAGATCAACACATTTTTTATGAGGTGTGAGTTTTTTTAATTAACAGACATATGTAATGAAAAATTCATTTATAAGCACAATTTTTATTTATATGTCAGATATCCTAAGGTTTTGGATACGGTTTTTTAAGTAAATTAGATTTTTTTTCCATTTCTTTATCAATTTTTTTTTCACATATCGAGATATTCATAATTGGTTCATGACTTAGGTATGTGTAGGATTAAGACATGAGTTACTTTTAGATCAGTTGTATTGTTGTGATAGACAGTATGCATTATTAAGCAAACACCAGATATTTCATTGGATATCAGATATTGTGGGAAAGTGCCTTGGAATCTGTTTAATCTGTTTCCTTTGTATTGTCACATCTTGTGTTATCTGACCTTTTGTATTTAAAAATCTTTCTGTTCTGATTCCAGAGTAATCAGACACTATTTAGGGTTTTGATCTACTTTACCTGACCTTACCTGGTCCTAATAGTTTTGATATCCTATTTCATGTAAATACAAATTATTATATACCAGAAAAAAATTACTTACCTTAAACCTGTTTAATCTGATCAGTATATTGTGACATATTGTATAATCTGACTCAAGGTATTTTGAAATTCCATTCTGTTCCTTGAATGATACAGTAACTTACTTGAATGATTGGATATCCTGTCAACTTTGATGCTGGAGTACTTGGATGACTTGTGTAATCTGACCCTGTTTCAGGTACAATTAATTTAGTAACCTCCCCAATTAAGGATATTTTTGTAGTCTGGATATCTTGCCAAATATGTATAATTAATTTTGTCTCTGAGTGCTGTTATTGTTTTTGAAAATGATTGTAAGTTAAGAATATTGTTACTATGTATTAGGAACATTTATGTATGTTTTGAAAGAAGTAGAAACATGTCATATTTTTGAAGTTTATATATTAAGATATGATAACAGGTATTAAAGGTTTTTTAGAATTATTGTTAGAAAGTTTAGCTTGTATAGTTCTATTGGAGTTCATTGGAATCATTCTGTTTTTGTAAAATATTCGATTTGTTGATGTTTAAAACAAAAAACTTTATTTTTCATTCAGAATACAAAATGTATGTGATATTTCACTGTGTCGAATGATACTGTTTATAATTCAATAAAACTGAAAGAAAGTGAAAACTGGTGTTGTTGAATGTTATCATCAATAATCAAGTATTTGATCAGATTTAAGGCTATGAAGCAGTTCATCCCAAATTTCAATATTTTGATTTTACCATTGTGTCAGATACACAGAATCCGAATTACTCTTAAAAGGAAAGGAAAATTAATTTGGATGAAGACTGTTACATTACCTTATAGCTTCTACAAAACTAAGATCATATCAAATCAGTAAAAAGAAAAATAGTTTTATATTAAGTCAAAAATATCATCTTTCATAACTGTTTTGTTTTGTGTATAGTAAACTTGTAAAAATGACCTTGACCGTACATCATGACCTTCACTGTAAGCAGATGAGAAAAAGTATGTTAAGGAAATGATAACCTCTGTAAACAAATCATATTAACACTGGAAATATGAGAGACAAATTATATAGAAATAAAAAAAAATATTACAATTTAACATGTCAGCTCGAATAGAACCTAACAGTATGTGAATCAAGGGGAGACAACTTATGTAGTCATATACAATAGTTAGTTCAAGGATATAGGATTTTGTATGTGAATAGTTGAATGATCCAAAATCAAATCTGGATGGTTTGTAGCTGGGGAATTAACTTTATACAAATCTGCTCTTCTAACTTGTAATTCAAGGATAGAAAATCATTTATTTTGTGTCTTACAAAGATAGGTTCAGTGTGGTCCTGCATGAACAAAATAAATTGTAGATCAATAGGAATCACGTTATGTTCCATCTTATATATAGACAAGGATCGATGATTTATGTGTCAATTTTTTCGTAGATTTAGTGGCGACAAATTGATTAAATCTTACTTGTAGATCAAGTGGAGACAAATTATGTACAAGTTATATAAATTTCCTCAGCCTTTTGACCCAAAATACACTACTATTTAAGCCAACAATAGTGGTAACTATAAGTTTGAAACTGGTTTCTTTAGGTTTATTTGAAGGGACTCGGGTTCAAAATAAAACTGATTATCAAAAGCATTTGTACTGATAAAATTATATCCGCAGGATATTGGTTGATCAGACTGGCAAAAAATTATGAAACTTGTGGCATAAAAAAAATAACTACATATTTTAATATTTTACATTCTTTAGACTTTAAGTCTTTAAAACGAAAGTATTGAAGTTCATGCAAATTCAATTTTGATGTCACATTGATATATTTAATTTTAGTTTGCATTAAAATTTTTATTTTATTCTCCATTTATGAAATATCTTTCTTTACTTCACACTTTCTATGGTTTATTTATATGTAGACAAATGATCTCACAGCGGTCCACCTAGGCGTTAAGTTTTCATGTCGATTCACGTTGAAAGAAATCCAGGAGAGATGGTATGCTCTGCTCTACGACCCGGTCATATCAAAGTAAGTACAAGTTCAAGGTTGTCGGACAAGTGAATATTGTTTTCTTGTACCCTGGACTATTATATCTTGGGTTAAGATCTCCTTGTCTCACCCTTGAGGGTGATTGGGTCCCTTGTTAGGACAATGATGTGATGTTGAACAGAAACTCTTCCTGTCATCATGTCACAGTAATAATTCCATGTCATCATTTCACAGTAGTCAGGTCGGTAGTCCAATGTCACATTAACACTGCCACTGTATTGTTGTACAATTGTATCCTATATTTAGTCAGAATTTCAAATATATGGCTGTATTTTTCTGTATAAAGTAGGGGTTCGTCCTGTGAACAGCCAGAGTCTTTGTGAGGCTGGGTCTCCTTATTTTAACTTGTGACCACCTCACTTAGAAAAGACCAGTCACATGCCAAACATAGCAATTAGGATACCAAAACAGCTCAAACCTGTCTGTTTCTCAGCTTCCTGTGAAATGTAATAAACCAGGAGTAAGAGGGGTCGCACCCTGTGCCCCTTATCTTCACTGAAGGTTATATACGGTAGGCCAACATTCTAACTAACAAATCTATTGCAGCTCCTTGTAATGAGCAGTGGAAACCTAAGCATTACCAGTGACTAGATAAAAAGGGCTTGTTTCAAAAATAGGATTTATTGTTATTCTGAATTCTGGCAATTAGACAACTGTCAATGAAAAGAATGCATGTTCATAAGAACGTGATACGATATTGAAATCTGTTAAATACAATTATATTGTAATGTTTTATTTACAGACTTGCAATCCAGGCTATGAAACAACTCCATCCTGATATCATGAACAACGTTCAGGGAAAAGCTCTGTTTAGTAAAGAAGAGGAAACGTTACTGGGAACTATAGCATCTGTGAGTTTTAATTTTACTAAATCTGAAATCTCCATGAAATAGTAAAGACCTTTTTTCTGGAGATCCAATCAGACCATCAAATCAATAATCAATGATATGACTACTTTAAACTTTACACAGATATAAGATAAGTCTTTGTGAAATTGAAAATTGTTACCAATTTTCTTACATTTTTTAACTAATATGGCAAAAGACCTGTGTTTTATACAGCCAAAATTTCCTAGTGAGATCCTTTCTTTAACTTCATCTCTTGAGGACAAACTTGTAAGTCACAGTTTTTCCAAGCAATGTCTCATCAGATCCTGGTAGAAACACTTAAAATGTTTATGTTTTTTCTTGATAAACAGACTAGTCAACCAACAGGAGATACATTCCAAGATCTTCTGGAAAAAGAATCTGATGTTTTCCACCCACTCCGCACTGCTAAAGCTCTTAACAACCATTGGATACTAATGAAACAGTACCATCTGCTTCCTGACCAATCAGGTACAGGGTTACATGTATTTAGTCTGTTAAATCATCTACCAATCAAATTGAATGTTAATGAGTAACAGAAAAAAACAACACAAGATACAATGTTAAAGATTATCAGCCAATCAAAATCAGGGCTAAAATCAAAATCAACCAATCAGATAGAGAGTTACAAAGGATATGAGCAGTAACTGATTATAAGGTCCCTTTAAAACTCCCTATTTCTTTTGATTTTGGAGGGCTATGACCAGATATTTGATGAGTAGGGATTGCCGACACTAGTATTGGTGACAATTCATTTGTTCTTTATCAACAGTACAACCCATGCCTCGCGGTGACCATGTCCTGAATTTCTCAGATGCAGAGGACATGATGAATGATGAGGATGTAAGGGACCCTAAGGACGAGACATTAGAACAAGGTTATTATACATTTGATCTTATATAAAGTTTAATCTGAAATCTAGACATTAGAACAGGGTAATTATACATTGTAAATCTACTCTTTAACTGACAGAAATAAACTTAGATGTGCTAATCACTAGATATGGAATTATTGTCTGCACACATATGGATTTTGTAGTAGGTTACAACTGTATTTTGATTATCCAATGGTATTCAGGCAAGAGAAGACCTTTCAAATTACCAATGCCAAAAAAAAAAATTACAATTATTTTGAAATTGATATATTATGTCATTTTGATGATATGGACATTTTCGTATTTTTCTACAGAATTGAATGTGTCAGACAGAAGAAATAAGAAAGAAATTCGTCATTTAGAACAAGAACTACCCAAATGGCAGGTGCTTGTTGACAGTGTGACAGGTGAGTTTTGTAGAGAATAAAGCAGGATTGCTTCTTGTTGATAGCGTGACAGGTGAGCTGTGTACAGAATACAGTTGTTTCTTATTGAAAAAGTGAAAACGTATAAAATAAAAAAATATTTAAAATAAGCTGGATCAGTTTCATGTTTCTGAATATTAATTAGTAATAATTTGAAAAGCATGTTTATATAAACACTTGTTGTTTGTAAAACTAAAACCAACCAAGTGTTACTACACAATACAGTCTTGTTATTGTACTATTTCTACGAAGTCGGAGATTATTAGTTTCCTTGTGATATTTTATATTTCTATAACTTCTGGTCTTATACCATTTCCAGGAAGGGACTAAACAGATCTAATTGTTACAATGTACTGTTTGATTGTAGACACATCTTTTACAATTTAACATGTTAATAACTTAATTATAACTCATTCCAGGTATTAGTCCGCCTGACTTTGATAACCAGACTTTGGCGGTACTTCGCGGTCGTCTGGTGCGTTATCTAATGAGATCAAGGGAGGTAAGACAGAATCATCAACCGTTATGTTGTTAAAACTGAATTTTATGTAATTAATTCAATAATTCATTATAATCTTTTTGCTACCCAACATTGCCTTATAACAAAACTGTATTTGAATTTACCAGGTCTTCTGAGTCAGTTGGATGTTTTCTGTTAGTATGAAAGGTCACGTGAATGATATCTGATACTATCATGGTTGTAAAGTGTATGCTGTTTCCTTTTATTGGTTTGACCAGATAGATGAGGATGATTTATTCATAAAATAAGGACATATGCCAATACTCTGAGCGAGATATTGTGGTCTCTCATTCATTATAAATAATTTCTGTGTCTTTAATGTGTAACAAAAACAGCTTTGGAGTCTGTGTTCAAAAGGAAATATGGACCAATGGACAAGATTTATGAATTAAGTTCCAAATCCAGATTCAAACCATTACATGTGTTTATTTGAAATATTAATCAGACATCCAACCTTATTTTGAATGGAAGTAAAGTTGATAGGAATGTTTCTTCCTTGTAGATAACTCTGGGACGAGCCACCAAAGATAACCAGATAGACGTAGACTTATCTCTAGAAGGACCTGCCTGGAAAATCTCACGTCGCCAGGGAATCATCAAGCTTAGAAATAACGGAGACTTCTTCATTGCGAATGAGGGCAAGCGACCTATTTATATTGATGGGCGTCCAGTTCTTGTTGGAAACAAGCAGAAACTATGTAACAATTCAGTTGTAGAGGTAAGTTTTCAAAGCACTCAAGCAGGGGCTCTTTGAAGATAAATACTGCAGTATTCTTTTCAAAAGACGCAAATTTTTGGCTGTATGAAAATATGTTTTGCTGTAGTGAAATAGTGATCAGTTGGAAAAGACAGGTTTGTCTCTTTGAGAAAGGATACCCTATAATCTTGAAAATAAGGCAGTTTTCATGCTAGGAATAGTACCTTGAAAATAAGCCATTTTTTGAAAATGCACAATCAGAATTAATTAATTAATTAATTTAAAATTGAAATATGTCATTGTTGATGAATTAGTTCATTTTTATTTTGCATTTTATACGAAATAGAAAACATTTGAGGACATGACATTACTCACTTGGAATTGACCAAGTTTTATATATCAGATGTCGTTAATGAAGCAGAAGACTCTTACTCTTCCTGAGCACCTGGTCTTATTCTCCTAGTACTTTTCATGAGTTTCTGTGTATATCTTTCTCTTGTTCGTATTGTAGTTTTATTGAATTTAAGTTTGCATTTTGACATGTTGGTATTTTCTTTTTGTTTATTGTATGAACAGTCTAAACTTCACATGTTGTCAGGATTTCAATTTCTGTTTTCAGATTTCATGTCTTCGGTTTATTTTCCTTATCAACCAAGATCTTATTAATGTTATCCGGACAGAATCACAGAAACTGACCAGTGTTTGATGTCACAAGGGCAGATCAGTGAAACTGACCAGGTGTTGATGTTAGATGAGCAGAATAGAGAAACTGATCAATGTTTGGTGTCACTCATGGAGAATAGAGAAACAAACCAATGTTTGATGTCACACGAACAGAATCTCAAAAACTGACCAATGTTTGATGTCACACGGACAAAACAGCGAAACTGACCAGGTGTTGATGTCAGATGGGCAGAATAGAGAAACTGATCAATGTTTGATGTCATATGGGCAGAACCTCAAAAACTGACCAATGATTGATGTCACAGGGGCAGAATCTCAAAAACTGACCAATGTTTGATGTCACATGGACAAAACAGTGAAACTGACCTGGTGTTGCTGTCACATGGACAGAATAGAAAACTGATCAATGTTTTATGTCACACAGGCAGAAACTGTCCAATGTTTGATGTCACATGGACAGAATGGAGAAATTGACCAATGGTTGATGTTTTACAGTCAGAAACTTACCAATGTTTGAGTCAGAATGCTTCAGAAAGTGGCATTCGTGTTTCAAAGTCAAAAGATAGAACATTCACAGAATCTCACAAGTTTGTTTGAAATCGAAAGCTAAATGGTACAGATGGAGTTGACATTGTGTGAAAACAGTAAAAACATGGACTTGGAGCCATTTAATTGACCAAGATGAAAGAAATATGTGTAGTATATATATCAACACTAATCTTTCTGGCAAAATGTTTGTATATCAAACTGGTGGTGATAGATTCATTCATGTCCCCACGTCCTTCATTGTATTTACAGATTGACATTAACAGTCTGTACTGTTATTATGTCTGTAGAAATTGATTTAAAGAAAGAAAAATAATAATATTAAGAAACCAGCTTCAGAAAAGTATAATTGGTGCTTAAAATCATCATGTTTTCCAAGAACTGTATTAAATAATGGTTGATTAAACACTAAATATATTTATAGCTGTAAAAAAGTTAATTACTGCAACAAAGCCAATAAACAATATGTTGAACATATTGACTAATATCAGAGTCCTTCACATTATAAGATAATCTATCACTACTGTTTCGTGATCTGTTGAATGAGTTGCTTTGATCAGACTTATCATCAAATATCATTTCAATTTTAAATTAATTGTTTCATTTTGTCATTGTTATCATTGTTTTCTTTTCGTCATTTGTTCAGTCATGAATATTTTATCATCATGATATTAATTCATATATCATTATCATCGCTTCATTATCAGACGTTTTATCGTCCTTACTATCGCCAACGTCATGACATCATTTAGAGTCATAACTTGATTAAATCAAAATTACTTTATCCTCATCAGATCCCCTTCACAAACTCATTTAGTGTCATTTATTGTTAATATTTTTGTACCTACTATGATATATGTTGTTATGAGATGGCTGGTTTAGACGATCTAGACTGCTGATGCTTTGTGAACATGTAGGAGATATGTGGAGCATATGTATGTAAAATATGTTGTGACTGAGAGTGAAGCATGCCTGTGTTAAGTACCATATTTATCTGACAATAAGCCAGAGGGTTTTCATATAAAATCTGAAAATTTGGGCGGTGGACTTATGGACAACGATATACCATTTACTGTTGTTAATGCTGAATCTGTATATATACGGTATATATATATATATATATATGGGTGGGCTTATTACCAGGCATGGTCTTATTACTGGATGCATATGGAAGGTCAGGTTGTTATGTTCAATGTTGGATGTATGTTTGCATACAGGCTGTAATAAAAAAAATTGTGTAAAATGATAACAAACCTGGTGTCTTATTGGTGGTTTTTAAATACTTCTAGGTAGATAATACATTGTATTTCTTCTGATAGTAATTTTGATAGTTAAGTTGAAACAGTGTATTGATCCTTACTTATTTTCATTACAATTTCATATACAATACCCAAGGTAATTTATTAGGTTGGAGTAAAGATTGAGTGAAATACACCCATGTTGATAGAATCAACAGGTGATTACTGGGGACAGAAATACACATCACTCTCCACATAAATGTTGATAGACTGAACTAAGGACAATTGATTTTGATATAAACCAAAATAATAAAACAGGTTATTGAAATTGTACTTCCTCCCTGAATAAGAAACAATGTATAATTAAAAATAATAATGTCAGTTTATTAGGATCTTAATCATGACCACATATTTAACTCCTTGTAATGAGATTATGTTGTAAGTATGATTGGAAATTGGGGGTATGTCACAATATGAGGACAAAAATTTTTTTTTTTTTTTAAATTTTTTGAACTCAAAATGTTTCAATCATCAAAAAAGAAGAGATGAAAATTTAAGATGATAAGAAACTTATTTCTCCTTTCAGAACTCAAGGTCTGCTTTTGTCTTTGACCTCAATGAACAGAAAATATCACAACATCAGAAGATAGTTTCTAAATTTTATTTCCTTTGATTATCTTTGATAAGAAAAATCATATAAAACTCTGCAATCCTTTCATACCTAACAAATGAATGTTAAAATAACTACTGAAATAGAATTCAATGAATGTTAATATCACATCCGCACCCCGACAACATCCACAACCTCAAACATCACACAATTTTCAAAAATTTCATCTTTCCTAATTTGAATATTAGTTGTACCACTACATAAAGGTAGAGAAGGAGGCTTTGTTTAAATCCATACAATTTTGATATTTGAAACTTAAAAACTAGTTTCAAAGTTCCATTAAATGTTTTTACATACCATTTTAAGGTACTACTATTGAAGACATATTCTTAATAAAATTGACTCTGATTAATTGATTTAAAGCAAATATTGGATGGTCAGTTGGCACAGTGATAGCACTTTTGACTCTCAACTAAGTGTTCACGGTTCGATTCCCAGAAAGGTATGGGGTCACCTGCCGACCACCTTGGTTTTTCTCCAGTATTCTGGTTTCCTCCCACAATAACACCCCTCGTGTTCCTCCATCCATGAGTAAACAAAGCTCCTTAGGATATTGTAAAATAAGTTAATATCATATCAATATATCTTTTATGATAATTCAAAAGATTCAAGAGTTAAAAGTTTACCATTATAAAAGTTCCTTCTGAGATGTCACACACATGCAAAACAATACACTTGTACAATTACCTATAATGAGAGTACTTAAATATTTACTTGTTAACCACATAATTACATCCATATGATATTTCACACAAGCATGAGCTTTATCTCCCTCTAATCAGTTATTACTATAATAAATAAATTGTGTACAAAGATATGAAAACAGATTATGTCCTTGATTTCAAGCTTCACCAGTCACAGAAGTAACCTCCCTCCAGTCTATGAAAATAACATTAATGCATAATTTTAAACACACTTTGTAATGCCAAATATCTTTTTCTTTCCCTTTTAGGAGAAAAAAAATAATGCATAGTTTTAAACACTCTTTCTCATGCCAAATATCATTTCCTTTCTTTTTTAGGAGAAAAAAATTACTAACACAGAACTTAATTGGGAGAGATCTGCCAGGGCTGAGGTCATGGGGTCAGCCTCTTTATAAACAAATGTCCCCAGACAGAAGGGCTCTCCAGACAAAAACACTGAATTTTAAACATTAATGAGAGTGCAAAAACATTATAAGTAGTTAAACATTGTATTAAGAAAATTTAATGTAGCTTTGTAAATAGCATGTGACCCTTTTTGTGTTATCATCAAGCCATGGGGAAAATTAACTATTATTTAAGAGAAATCAAATTTATAGGATGGTGATATTTCAATATTTTTTTTTTCAAGGACAAATATTTCTGTCATCTATGGCACAGGTGCAGTATATACCTGTAGGGCTTCTTGCACCAGTAAAACATATTAACAACAAATAAACATTAATGCACAAACAGTAATCTTAAATACAAAACACATATTTATTATAATAATACAAGCTTTTATAAATTCTACTCATTCATAAAGAATGGTTAAAGTTGCGTCACCATTTTGTAGAAATCTATCAAAATATAAATACACTGTACATATAGAGGTATACGATATCTTAAGTCTTGTACAAGTTTAGAAAAAATGAAATTAACACAGAAATTAGAATCGTTAAATCTTAAGCGATATTTTAAAAAAAAAAGTGATCTGAATAACTTTTCATCGAATGAACCTTGAAAAGACCCCTTCATCCTTATTCACAAGGGTCATGACCTCTCATTAATAATAACAGGTTAATGTCTAACAGCTGCAGATATCTTATACAAGCTCCAAATTGATAGAGATGATTTAATATATAAAAACATATATTTAGATGAACATGGATGATTTTTTAAGAAAATTTGATCTTATTCTGGTAGTGGTTAATTTTCTAGTTTCTGAGCTAGATTAACGAAATATAATTTCATTTATCAGCAGTTGTAATTTTTTAAAAAATTTTTTTTGCACATTTGAACAAATATCAACTATAAAAAAATCAGGTTATAAGACCTTGTAACTTTAAATATTTGATGATCAAAAATGTAAAACATTATTTATATATTATTTATGAATAAGTCATTGAAAAAAAAGAGCATCAATAATATCACAAGGTAAAAAACATGGTGGACGGAAAAAGGATTTGTTATACAAGTTTCACAAAATCCAAGAAAAAGTTATATCATTTAACTGAATAAAAGTGTTAAAAATATTCACAGAAATACAAACAACATTTAAAAAATGCCAGATAAGTGTAAAAATTTTTAAAAATCTTAAGCAAGTAACAGTTCGTTATATAACAAATTGAATATATTTTGTAGAATTAATGAAACCCTGTACAAAAATGTAATACCATTTTGAAAATATCACAAAAATAGAAGATATTATGTCTTTGGAATGTAGATTAAGATATACCAACACCATCTACAACATTTGTAAATAACATCAGTATTACAAGCTACAATGTAAAATGCACATAATAACAAACTGTCATATAATTGGTAGAAAGTGCTGAAAATTACACCACAACTAGAAAATGGTCAACTCGTGAAAGACCCTACTGCCATGAAAATTGGATGATAATTTTCTTTATAGCGTAAATAGTTTTTTGTGTCCTTCACCTTTGAACCCTGAAACATAAACCCAAACAAGATATTCTCATACTGGACTTTTTCATGAACTTTTATCAAAATGATTAAAGAAATTAATGTTTGAATGAGATAATGTTGATTTCTCATCAGATAAGAGAAGATTGGATAGATATGGGTAACGCTACATTATAATGATTTCCAACAAAAATGGCAGGTTGTAAAAAATGCAATATATTAGATAACTGTATGTATCCAGCAAAAAGCTGTGGTAACATGTCACAGATGACATTTTTGCATTCGTGCAGGCTCAGTATATAACAGCATTATAAATATCACAGCATTGTATATAATAAAGCATTCTCATTTCACAATCTGGAAAATGAACCACATACCCTGTGCATCATCTCATATAGAGAAATTTTTAGAACTAAAATACTTCTTGGTCAAACTATTGTAACACACACAGTATATATTAAGAACTTATGCTCAATCGTTTTTGTCAATTTCAAAGCAAATAGTACATTTGAATCAAAGATTACAACTACATTTGAATACTTAAACTCCAAGCTTAAAAATATTTTTATACATTAATCTTATACGTCTATCAATATTAAATTTGTTATTGTACTTATTCAATGGATCACGATAGCTCAGACAGTTATAGGGATGAGATGTGATGGTCCTCCTGTATGTTGTTCAGTGAGGTAGCCATCAGCTACTTAAGGAGGCCTAGTTGGTATGAAATTATAAACCAACACTATTTCAGTGTTTTGTAATAAGCCCACCCCCTGACATTGAGTAAGAAGTAATTTGTTGTTCCCTTTGGATTATTGCAGGATAAAAATGATCATTTAGTCATCCTTAGCATTATCCTCCTCATTCATGACTGCCTTTTCTTTGGCTTGTTTAGAGGTGTTGGATGAACCTGATTCCGCCTCCGCGAGGAGTAACTAGCTTCACTCGGTGCACGCGCACTCATGGCTCGCATACCACCAATAGGGGGTATGGGTATCATGTTTCGCATGTTGCGGTTAGTTCTTAGTGCAGGTTTTTTCACGATGACTGGTTCACCATCCAAATCATAGATGAGTTTTCGGTCCTGGAATAAATAACGACACTGACTAACAAGTATTGACTTTGATCATCATTTTAATTTCATTTTTTCTTATCAGAAATTCATCTGTCTCAAAACCAAACACCGAAGACATTAAATGGATAATTTCTTGAATCAGAACCAATAAGAAATCCATGGTGTGATGTTTTGATGACTACACAGTCACATCAAATGAATGACCAATGTAAAGCACATGAGAATTTCATATCAGAGACGGGATGGCATGAATACCGTACTAGTGAAAACATCATATCCTAAATTCAAAACCGGAATACAAATAAAATATCAAGCATGGAATTATCAAATAACTTCAAATTTTCTACAAAATGCCTTTAGATAGTTTGTAAATCTGACACTGTGAAAGAAATAACAATAATTCCCAGGCTTCTTTGTATTACCTACAAAGTGTAATACATGTATACAGGGCAGTTTGGCTACACTATAATCTTATGAACAGTAAAGTGGAGGAGAGATGAAATGTTGATAAGACTACTTAGAAAATTGCTGATCTTCAAAACACTGGCCAGGTGGTAACAAATTACTGCTGTATTCTGGGGAAATTTTTGCGGCAGTTTAGAATTTGGCCATTTCAGCCATCTATCTATTAGGCATTAACAACACAGTGGCTAAAGTTTGAAAGTTAATGTCACAATACATGTTCTTGTGCTTTTACATAGGAAATGAATATTTTCAAGTGAGGGCTTAAATAACCCTGGGTGACCGCTTTGATGTAAACTATATCTCATGAAATCTGATTCAGCTGGACATAGCATGTTGGATATGTGCGAGTTTTAGACTAATCATAACCACAACTAGACAAGAAGAAATGAACAATCACTATAACAGATTATTTCCTATCTGAATGATCAGGACTTTTTGTCTGATTTTTATTATAACAGATCTTCAGAACAATATGGACAGGTTTGGTGTTACTTTGAACAACCCCTTTGCCTGTTACGATTGACTTCTACATACTAAATCATATTACTTATCCTTCAATCACCCTGCATACCTTTGGGTATCAAGACAAGGGGGCCTATGAACCAAGAATTCACCCCCAAATACAACAACCCAGTGTTGGCTCAATCCCTCCTCTTATTCGAACAACAATTTTTCAGAATTGGTCATCACTCGACATCAACAAACAGTTCACCATACTTTAAACTATTGTGTATATAACTTACTGTGCGAATAGTCAATTCGTCCCGAGTTTCTCTCTTCTTCCTCCTCCTTCGATCCTAAAAAAACCATGACAAACATTTTCTATAAAAATGAATACCTGCTAAAAGAATTATAAACCCTGTTAAACAAATCAGGAAGTAAGATACTGATTTTGAGTTGCTATATATGGTAAGGAAATCCCAAAGGAAGGCTTATAAATAGACAGACGATAATTCCATCCTGCATGATCTATAATCTTTATCTACCGGTAATTTCTCATTTATTAAATACTGTTATTTTGAACAAAAAGAAGAATTTATCTTTAAATCCTAAATACTTACATATTTCTTATCAAATTAAGTTAGATTCCATTACTTAAGAGTTAAATTTCCTAAAAACACGGACCCAATCTATGGCTTTTTCTATGCGTTCACTGTTTTCAAATTTGATTTCATTCATTTCAACAAATTTTTTTGACAAAAAAAGTAATGCAAATTTAGTCAATAGGATCAAATAACAGGCAGACCCTATTTAAGTTGTCTCCAGGAATTTGAGTTTAGCGAACATGTTTGCTGTTATGGGTACACAAGACACATTCTATCACACATGCAGCATATTGACACCTTTGAGGTTAATTTTGTTCTACTTGTGATCAAATTTAACTTATGCTCTTGTTTTTGATGATATGAAAAAAGAGTGATATGTAACTTACGTAACACCAACATGTACAGCTGAGTGGTACCCATACAAGTAGAGAAAATACTTGTACAAACGCCACCATATTGGTTCTAAAGGCCTCCACTGTGAAAATTAAGGATGATACATGTTGATACATGAATCCACAAAATCTGTATCATTAATCAACATAAAAACGAGTTCTCAGTTACCGTATAGCGAGTTGTTGTCATGGGGATATTTTCACTATTTCCCGGTACATGGTTGTGGAAATATAACCCGCGAAGTACATGTGTACTAGACGTCCTTTTACATCCAGACTGCAAAATCTTGATTTGTTCAAATGTTATCCTATCATTTTAAAAGAAATTCACAATAACTTTGACCCATGAAAATCACTATCTGTACAGTATAGTCATATTTATACTTTTATGATATCTACATGTATATAACTTGCCTGAATTATGGACAGAAAACAAAATTAAGAATTATTATACATCTGGGTTATCAGTTGTATCAGCCTATTTAATATGTTACTGTAACCATATATATTTCATCTAATTTTAGCGTTTTCTGCGCTGAACAGATCACACTTAAACATGACTTTGCTAATTGTAGTTTCAGTATGTTGTTTTTATTGCAATTATTATGGATACGCTAAATCATTATTGTGCTAATTTGCAAATAAAAGTGATAATATGCTGAAATTTGATTTCGCCAAAATTAAGTATGTGTACAGTCTATGATTGGCATTAGAGCTATCATTTCTAAGTTGTCCACACTATCTCCTTAAGTTTTATTGATTCATCTACAGGGGCTACATCAATTCCCCTTGGTCAGGACCTCACCCTCAGTCCTCACAGCATGATTATACCTGCTTCTTCATGCCAAACAATTCTTAATATGTTAGAAAAAATATTTGAAATTAAAGTCTACACAAAACATGATTATAACAAAGATACTGACATCCATCAATAAATATACTAAAGTTGCTTTAGATATACATTTACACATTTATTGACAGTAAACATAATTGTAATTAGAGACTGTACATAGAGAATATACTCACCAAGATAGTCAAAACTGATCTTGTCAATGAGACTAAAGAATCGTTCTGCCAACCCTGGCTCTGTTTTGATACAGGTACCCTAATTAACAGATTTATGTGAATTAAAACAATATCTTAAATCTTCACTCATACATTATACAGTATCTCTAAAAACCAGTCTTTCTTTATCATCAGACAGACTTTTTTATAATCCAATTTTTATGGGGTTGGTTGACAGTGAATGGTGCACCTAAATTCACCTTACCAAGTGGAGTTTGATACATTTAGCAGATATGGGAATGTAAAGACGATGATGATTTTTTTCTTTACAGAGTAATAATAGCAATGGGGTAGGTATATGTAATTTGTGAAATGTATGTTGGTTAAGGGGAGATAATTTGTCCTTTTAATATCTGTGTAAATAGAGCAGGTAGATTTTAAATTGTTGGGACATCTACAGGGGAGACAACTTACAGCACCATCACAGTAACCATAGGTACAGGGTCTGTCCTTGGCTAGAACCAATGTGGAATTGGCTATGGAACACACTCCACTGCTTCTACAGCATCTATAACAGGAACTTCCGACTAAAAAAAACAAAAAAACAACTGCATTGTACATAAATATTTGTTTTGTGCCTGTAGAACTTTTCAGACATTTAAAAAATCAGATCAAATTTTAAGCTAAGGATTGAAACAGCTTATAGTATTTTCAGTTAATTCTGTTGTATTCTATCAATGAAAATAACGCAGAAAAGAAACACAAAAATAACAAACTTTACAGTGTGCATGTTTATATATGACTGTGTTTGTTTGTAGTGTATGTGTTTATATTCCTTTACGGTTCAGTTATCCTATATGACTTCTAATAGTGGGCCTTGGGAAAAGAATTACAGCCAAAATCAACCCTGTAATTCTTACCGTCGTTACAGACACAGGAGGTCAATCCACGGAATTCACAGTAAGCCAGGCATTCACCATTCCTGCAAGACCCTCTGCAAACACAGATTTTCTTTCATTAACACAAAAAAAAATTTCTACTTAATTCTGTAGTCATTAACGTCATCCCTGTTTTGGGACTTTTGGCAATTTTTATCAATCACTAAATCTGTGTGAATAAATTGCACGAAAATTAGTTTACAGTATTTGATATATTCAAAACATGCTAATGAGGTAACTACAATATCAGTAGAATGGGGCCAACGGCTCTGTCAGTGAAGCGTTGACATATGTAACTTCTGCTTAAAATCTTAAGCCTGTAGTGAGACATTCCCTACTCATGGCAGTTTGCACTTCTCAGAAAGCTGAGAAATGGACTAGTCTGTACTGTTATAGTTTGTCCTTCAGCAAAACACTTTCTCAATTGCTTTGAATGACATGCAGCATGCCTCCCCTATGTTGTTCAGTATGGTAACCATTAGTTACTGCAAAAAGACAGCGTCTCAAAAGGATCTTGGCTACATGTTGACAGGGGTGATAAACCCAGTTAACAAGCAAGTATACCGTTTGGACCTCTATTGAACATTTCTAGGGGATTTATATTGAACATTGCTAGGAGACACATATGCTGAAAATTTCTAGACCTATATTGAACATTGCTAGGAGACACATATACTGAAAATTTCTAGACCTTTATTGAACATTGCTAGGAGACACATATACTGAAAATTTCTAGACCTTCATTGAACTTTTCTAGAAGGCTTTTATTGAACATTGCTAAGAGACTATATTGAACATTTCTAAAACTATATTGAACATTTCTAGAAGACACATATATTGAACATTTCTATGAAACCTATATTAATAATTTCTTGGAGGCCATTGAAGTTATACTAAAGAAATAGCATTATAAATCCAGATGAAAAATTTAATGGTGACTGACAGAAATATTCAACCAGACTCAAAATGTGGTATATGTAGCTAAAATTGTTTTATATGCACACCTGTGAAATAAAATGGCTACCAGTGGCAATCATAGCTCTAAATCTACAAATATGGCATCCACATCTAAATCCCACTGAGTGTGTTCATCACGTTTCAAGAATATTTCTTGAATTCGTATAAATGTTGAGAAATAGAAGTAGTAAGAATGGTTTTGTAGGCAGTCTGGCACAGAGACCAAAGACAAAAAGGTAATTCAAACCATCCATAATCTATCTGGTGACAGTGTAAATAGTGCAAGATACTCAACTTTGACCCCTGTTAGAGCATCCAGCAGGAATGTGTATTTTTACTCAATAGCATATCGAAAATATAATTTCATAATATTTTTAAAAATTTCCAACAGCCATATGTTATATAATTAGCACTAATCCAGAATTGTTCAATATGCTCTGAAGAAATATCAGTAATTATTTCTGACGTTAAAATGATTTAACTTACTGATCTATACAACTAGTGCCGTCCGGTAATGGAGCCTGAGTTGGACAGTTTAAGCTGGTACCAGTACAAAGGTTAAGGATTACAATCAGGGCTGTAACGTCAACTTAACACATCTGGTAATAGATCCATGGCTGGTACTAAGCCCACCTTTGTTATTACTGTTTGTTAAAATCCCCAGATAAGCAGTAATTTTTTGCAAGGATGATATTTCTGTCACTCTGTGGTACAATAGCATGACCGTAAAAATAAAATCCATGAAATAACGAGACATATGTATTTCAGATGGTCTTTAACATTTTCAGATTATGAAATTTTAATGCGTTCAAATGTAATTTTATCAGATTTTTTTACCCATGAAAAATACCAGCTATATGGCATGAAGCACCAGCTATGTGGTGTGAACCAATGTATCTCATTAGTCTGTTAATAAAACGATGACTTGAACACATGATAAGTTGTTACTGCAGGATAATACACTAATTTTGACCATAAAGGATATTCACAAAATGTTTCCTTGAGACAGCTACCGATTTCCCCACCAGCACACCTCAGGTTGTCAGCAGTAACGGCCCTTTGACAGGAAGTTGTACAACATGGATAGTTTGTCTGACTGAAAAAAAAAACACAGAAAATATCAATAAATTCAATGCATACAAAGGCGATCGTCAATGTTTAGCCCATACCTTAATTTCTTTTATTTTTTTGCCACATGTAGATACATGAAAAATAAACCAAACTGCATAGATAATTATTCATTATTAATACTGAGAGTCGTAATGGACTTCCTTGCATAAAACCAGGTTGAGTGACGGGGGTATCCTAACAAAACCACAGGTAGTTGTCATAGGAGAATGTAATTTTGTAAAAAAGAATTAGGACAGTACAGAGTATATAAAATAAATGTTAGCTGGTATTTGTCATATTGGTGTACATGTGATTATGTAATTTGCAAGTCCACCAAGAATTTTTTTATTAAATTTACTGCCTTCAGTTATATAAACTCAGCCAGCTTCTCCTGCAAGGCTTATTTATGGCAAGTCAACTGGGTCTAACTGGAGTCTTGTCAAATACCACAGCTGTTATAGCCCCTTAGATTAAATATATTGATGTTCAATAAATATGTAGTTGAAGCTTATATTCCTTTTTGTTCATACATTAAAACTAATGTATTGTTACATAAGTGCAGTTTATGAACAAATACAAACTTGTCTTATCATTTTTAAGTGAATGATTTGTAAACAGCTTGCGCAAAGAAAATACAAACACATAATATAGTCTACATGTGAGTGAACACGTTCTTTACATGTGATAAGTTTATCGTCATTCGTCAGTCCGGTCACTTGACTGGTCAAGTTTAGCAGGTCACATGACTGAAGAGTTTTTCTTCTGCCATCAGCAGCAGCAGTAATTTATTTAGCACCACTATTGTTCTTATCCACCACCTTTCCACCACTCTACCATAACAGGTGATGCCTGGGGAATATAACATCTTCTGAATTTCATTAGGTATTTTAAGTGAGTAAACACTTGCCAGCTTTTCTGAACATTGATAAATCTTATCTTCTCCCTTCCTTTAAAGGGAGTTAGGATTAAAACACCCTTTCATATATAAATATAATGTACTAACTACACAATCAATTCTATGTAATATCAAAACATCAAAACTGGTAAATTCCTTTTTTAGCGTGACAAACTTGTCCAATGAATAATTTCTCGTTATCATATAAAAATCGATTATTGTTGTTTTTCATGGTAAATAAATATACATTTTGTACTTTGTATCATACCAAACCTCTTTAATAAATTAAACATGTTATGTGCTGTAGTCATAAGTTACAAATATGATTTATACAAGTAAGTTACCCTCTGTAGAACTATCTCAGCTGAGACAGTGTTATAAACGAAGATAAACACATCATATACAAAGACAATGAAATAATTGTTATAATAAAACTAAGAAACATGTAATTATCATTCTGTCTTTTTCCCATCAAACAAAAGAAATATTAAATGATTTTACATCTTTAATTAACTAAACCAAGAAATGATAACCTTGTCTGACACCTGATACAATCTGATATTTTCTGAATACAGGTATAGGTATTATAATTGTATTTATACAATTTTCAGAAAGCTCACTTACATGTCTGTCAGATATTCTGTATTAATTACATGTACTAACTGCTAGCCTGATCTGTTATTAAGTTCACCTAAACGATTCCCATGTTATATGCGTGTATACCTCGTGGTTACAAAACCAGATTGAAAAGTTTACTTCAATGTGCAGTGTTTAAACACAATATGTATATTTAACTCAGTGTTAGTGTCTGCAGTAAATACTGACCACTGGGTATTCCTGTAGATCAGCAGAATGTACAATATGTGGAAAATGGTACAAGCTCTACTACAAACAATGACCATAGAAATCAATGTTTTGTGAACCTAGTAATGTCAGCACTCCAGATGACATAGAAAATGATGCTGATGATGTTCACACAGACGTCATGTCAACCAATGAACTAGCACTTATCTCTGTTGAGAGTTTATTTTATGGAGGATATTCACATAAAAAAGTGTTATCTTTGGAAAAGGGGCCATAAGTTGTGCAACATGCCTCAGCGTGCCAGAGTAAACCTAATGTATTTCCATTGTCTGTCAGGTCTACCTGATGCACGTGTTTGTAATGAACATATAATGGGTAACTTCCTAAACCCTTCACTGACAATCAACCTGTAGACATGGGAACCAGCTTCATCGCAAAGACAGAGCTGGTCAGGTGATAAATGATCTCCTAGAACTGACCCCAGCAGATTCTTCTGCAAGTGTAAAGACTTACATACAAACAGATCCTTGTGTGAGTGTAAAGACTTACATACAAACAGATCCTTGTGTGAGTGTAAAGACTTACATACAAACAGATCCTTGTGTGAGTGTAAAGACTTACACACAAACAGATCCTTGTGTCAGTGTAAAGACTTACATACAAACAGATCCTTGTAAAGTGTAAATACTTACATACAAAGAGATCCTTGTGTCAGTGTAAAGACTTACACACAACAGATCCTTGTGTCAGTGTAAAGACTTACATGCAAACAGATCCTTGTAAAGTGTAAAGACTTACATACAAACAGATCCTTGTGTCAGTGTAAAGACTTACATACAAACAGATCCTTGTGTCAGTGTAAAGACTTACATACAAACAGATCCTTGTGTCAGTGTAAAGACTTACATACAAACAGATCCTTGTGTCAGTGTAAAGACTTACATACAAACAGATCCTTGTGTCAGTGTAAAGACTTACATACAAACAGATCCTTGTGTGAGTGTAAAGACTTACACACAAACAGATCCTTGTGTCAGTGTAAAGACTTACATACAAACAGATCCTTGTAAAGTGTAAATACTTACATACAAACAGATCCTTGTGTCAGTGTAAATACTTACACACAACAGATCCTTGTGTCAGTGTAAAGACTTACATGCAAACAGATCCTTGTAAAGTGTAAATACTTACATACAAAGAGATCCTTGTGTCAGTGTAAAGACTTACACACAACAGATCCTTGTGTCAGTGTAAAGACTTACATACAAACAGATCCTTGTAAAGTGTAAATACTTACATACAAACAGATCCTTGTGTCAGTGTAAAGACTTACACACAACAGATCCTTGTGTCAGTGTAAAGACTTACATGCAAACAGATCCTTGTAAAGTGTAAAGACTTACATACAAACAGATCCTTGTGTCAGTGTAAAGACTTACATACAAAGAGATCCTTGTGTCAGTGTAAAGACTTACATACAAACAGATCCTTGTGTCAGTGTAAAGACTTACATACAAACAGATCCTTGTGTCAGTGTAAAGACTTACATACAAACAGATCCTTGTGTCAGTGTAAAGACTTACATACAAAGAGATCCTTGTGTCAGTGTAAAAACTTACATACAAACAGATCCTTGTAAAGTGTAAATACTTACATACAAAGAGATCCTTGTGTCAGTGTAAAGACTTACACACAACAGATCCTTGTGTCAGTGTAAAGACTTACATGCAAACAGATCCTTGTAAAGTATAAATACTTACATACAAAGTGATCCTTGTGTCAGTGTAAAGACTTACACACAACAGATCCTTGTGTCAGTGTAAAGACTTACATGCAAACAGATCCTTGTAAAGTGTAAATACTTACATACAAACAGATCCTTGTGTCAGTGTAAAGACTTACACACAACAGATCCTTGTGTCAGTGTAAAGACTTACATGCAAACAGATCCTTGTAAAGTGTAAAGACTTACATACAAACAGATCCTTGTGTCAGTGTAAAGACTTACATACAAAGAGATCCTTGTGTCAGTGTAAAGACTTACATACAAACAGATCCTTGTGTCAGTGTAAAGACTTACATACAAACAGATCCTTGTGTCAGTGTAAAGACTTACATACAAACAGATCCTTGTGTCAGTGTAAAGACTTACATACAAAGAGATCCTTGTGTCAGTGTAAAGACTTACACACAACAGATCCTTGTGTCAGTGTAAAGACTTACATACAAACAGATCCTTGTAAAGTGTAAAGACTTACATACAAACAGATCCTTGTGTCAGTGTAAAGACTTACATACAAAGAGATCCTTGTGTCAGTGTAAAGACTTACATACAAACAGATCCTTGTGTGAGTGTAAAGACTTACACACAAACAGATCCTTGTGTCAGTGTAAAGACTTACATACAAACAGATCCTTGTAAAGTGTAAATACTTACATACAAAGAGATCCTTGTGTCAGTGTAAAGACTTACACACAACAGATCCTTGTGTCAGTAAAGACTTACATGCAAACAGATCCTTGTAAAGTGTAAATACTTACATACAAAGAGATCCTTGTGTCAGTGTAAAGACTTACACACAACAGATCCTTGTGTCAGTGTAAAGACTTACATGCAAACAGATCCTTGTAAAGTGTAAAGACTTACATACAAACAGATCCTTGTGTCAGTGTAAAGACTTACATACAAACAGATCCTTGTGTCAGTGTAAAGACTTACATACAAACAGATCCTTGTGTCAGTGTAAAGACTTACATACAAACAGATCCTTGTGTCAGTGTAAAGACTTACATACAAAGAGATCCTTGTGTCAGTGTAAAGACTTACATACAAACAGATCCTTGTGTGAGTGTAAAGACTTACACACAAACAGATCCTTGTGTCAGTGTAAAGACTTACATACAAACAGATCCTTGTAAAGTGTAAATACTTACATACAAACAGATCCTTGTGTCAGTGTAAAGACTTACACACAACAGATCCTTGTGTCAGTGTAAAGACTTACATGCAAACAGATCCTTGTAAAGTGTAAATACTTACATACAAAGAGATCCTTGTGTCAGTGTAAAGACTTACACACAACAGATCCTTGTGTCAGTGTAAAGACTTACATACAAACAGATCCTTGTAAAGTGTAAATACTTACATACAAACAGATCCTTGTGTCAGTGTAAAGACTTACACACAACAGATCCTTGTGTCAGTGTAAAGACTTACATGCAAACAGATCCTTGTAAAGTGTAAAGACTTACATACAAACAGATCCTTGTGTCAGTGTAAAGACTTACATACAAAGAGATCCTTGTGTCAGTGTAAAGACTTACATACAAACAGATCCTTGTGTCAGTGTAAAGACTTACATACAAAGAGATCCTTGTGTCAGTGTAAAGACTTACATACAAACAGATCCTTGTGTCAGTGTAAAGACTTACATACAAAGAGATCCTTGTGTCAGTGTAAAAACTTACATACAAACAGATCCTTGTAAAGTGTAAATACTTACATACAAAGAGATCCTTGTGTCAGTGTAAAGACTTACACACAACAGATCCTTGTGTCAGTGTAAAGACTTACATGCAAACAGATCCTTGTAAAGTGTAAATACTTACATACAAACAGATCCTTGTGTCAGTGTAAAGACTTACACACAACAGATCCTTGTGTCAGTGTAAAGACTTACATGCAAACAGATCCTTGTAAAGTGTAAATACTTACATACAAACAGATCCTTGTGTCAGTGTAAAGACTTACACACAACAGATCCTTGTGTCAGTGTAAAGACTTACATGCAAACAGATCCTTGTAAAGTGTAAAGACTTACATACAAACAGATCCTTGTGTCAGTGTAAAGACTTACATACAAAGAGATCCTTGTGTCAGTGTAAAGACTTACATACAAACAGATCCTTGTGTCAGTGTAAAGACTTACATACAAACAGATCCTTGTGTCAGTGTAAAGACTTACATACAAACAGATCCTTGTGTCAGTGTAAAGACTTACATACAAACAGATCCTTGTGTCAGTGTAAAGACTTACACACAACAGATCCTTGTGTCAGTGTAAAGACTTACATACAAACAGATCCTTGTAAAGTGTAAAGACTTACATACAAACAGATCCTTGTGTCAGTGTAAAGACTTACATACAAACAGATCCTTGTGTCAGTGTAAAGACTTACATACAAACAGATCCTTGTGTGAGTGTAAAGACTTACACACAAACAGATCCTTGTGTCAGTGTAAAGACTTACATACAAACAGATCCTTGTAAAGTGTAAATACTTACATACAAAGAGATCCTTGTGTCAGTGTAAAGACTTACACACAACAGATCCTTGTGTCAGTAAAGACTTACATGCAAACAGATCCTTGTAAAGTGTAAATACTTACATACAAAGAGATCCTTGTGTGAGTGTAAAGACTTACATACAAACAGATCCTTGTGTCAGTGTAAAGACTCACATACAAAGAGATCCTTGTGTCAGTGTAAAGACTTACATACAAACAGATCCTTGTGTGAGTGTAAAGACTTACATACAAACAGATCCTTGTAAAGTGTAAATACTTACATACAAACAGATCCTTGTGTCAGTGTAAAGACTTACATACAAACAGATCCTTGTGTCAGTGTAAAGACTTACACACAAACAGATCCTTGTGTCAGTGTAAAGACTTACACACAAACAGATCCTTGTGTCAGTGTAAAGACTTACATACAAACAGATCCTTGTAAAGTGTAAATACTTACATACAAAGAGATCCTTGTAAAAGACTTACACACAAACAGATCCTTGTGTCAGTGTAAAGACTTACATACAAACAGATCCTTGTAAAGTGTAAATACTTACATACAAAGAGATCCTTGTGTCAGTGTAAAGACTTACATGCAAACAGATCCTTGTGTCAGTGTAAAGACTTACATGCAAACAGATCCTTGTGTCAGTGTAAAGACTTACATACAAACAGATCCTTGTGTCAGTGTAAAGACTTACATACAAACAGATCCTTGTAAAGTGTAAATACTTACATACAAAGAGATCCTTGTGTGAGTGTAAAGACTTACATACAAACAGATCCTTGTGTCAGTGTAAAGACTTACATACAAACAGATCCTTGTGTCAGTGTAAAGACTTACATACAAACAGATCCTTGTGTCAGTGTAAAGACTTACATAAAAACAGATCCTTGTAAAGTGTAAATACTTACGTGCAAACAGATCCTTGTGTAAGAGTACAATCATTAGAACAGCAGGAATCAAGCCCAAGCTTTCCTAACAGTCCACCATCACATTCCTCATTGCTATCAATTCTACCATTGCCACAAAGTGAGGTGGTTGTAGCAGCTATAAGGGAGATAATTCTAATATTTTACTCTCATAACAATTTTTACAACACATATATAACTCTGCATTTAGAGATGAAAATAAAGACAATTATAACATATTCATGTAAAGGAATATGCAAAATGGAAAGCAAGGTATTTCTGAAAGATCTGTAGAATTTGTTCAGAGGTTAATAAACAGGCTACAAATGCTCGTTCCGTTCTGCCTACCATCAAACTTTTTGTGTAAACAGATTGACAGAAATGAAAATGGACAATAATAAGAAGATTGACCTATCCCTGCAAGTGTTTGAGTTATCTTCAGATTCAGGCATGAAATTGTTACCTTGGAAACAGCTGCTGGCTTTGGCAGCCAAGACACGGGAGATGTATGTCCTACTACATGGTGAAAAATCCTGCAGAATTAAAAATGATACTTGGTAAATCATAGTAAATTTTTTAAACTTTGTTCAAAACTTTTGAAGATTTCACTGCCAAAAAATCCTGTTAGTAGCAAGAACTCCCACACAAAACAAAGGAATCATAACTAAGCATATATTTTTTGGAGTGAACTGAACCTGAGCCCCAATCCATGTCTCTGCCAATGGAGGCAAAGAAGCATTTTCTGAGTGACAGACTGTTAATTCCGTAAGATCATTTCAAGCACATTTCACCTGAGTCCCACTGGTGGAACTAGAGAAGAAGTATAAAATGTGTTTTCAAAGATGGCAGTCATGACAGCCATATTGGGTTTGAAGACCAAAAAGAAAAATAACAATAATTGGATCGTTTCAGGCAAGTTTTAGCTATATTCAACAAGTAGAACTGAAGTTCAAACTAGGTCTTCCTGTTCAAGGAAACCATGACTGCACAATATGGTCACAAAATGACTACCATTGCTGCCAAAAGAAACTAATGACAATGCAAAAAATTATCAACTCTTTGTCAGCTTTCCTTCCTTAATATTCTTACAAATTTTCAGCTCAGTGGCACCATTGGAACTTCAGAAGTTTGAAATGTGTTTTCAAAATGTTGGCCATTGTAGCCATATTGGATTTTGAATTGACCCTTAAAAAAACAAAACTTGGACAGGACCATCTCAGGATCACTTCAGGCACATTTCAGTTAAATCCCGCTGGTGGACAATAGAAGCTTTATCAAACATTTTACAAGGCCAGAAAGTCATAACACTTTCTTTAGCTTTCCTTCCTTAACTTTCCATTTTTCAGCTCAATGGCACCAGTGCAACATAAAAGAAGTTTAAAATGTCTTTTTCAAGATGGAAGCCATGGCAGTCATATTGAATTTTTGACTAAATTGAAAAACAACAACACTTGTCAGGACCTTCTCAGAATCATTTTGGGCAAGTTTCGGCAGGTGGAACTTGAGAAGAAATTTTAAAATGTAAAAAATTTACATGTGGCACATGACAATGTACAAAATACAACTACTATTGGGTGTCTGGACCCTTCAGGTCAGATGATCTAAAAATCACCTACATCATTGTTGGGGTCCTGGCCAGTGACAGCGTAGGCATACATGAGATATTTGCCATCACCTATAAGTGAAGAAGGAGTACAGTCTCCAGACTGATCATGTTGACTTCCCCAGTTATGACCTGAAACAACATGGAAAGCAACATAAACATATCATAGACCTCAGGTAAAGGTTTTATGTCACTAAACATTTTTTTTATCCATGTAGTTTCAATCACAATATACTCATCACTAGTAAGTGGGTTTCGGTATCCATACCCACCACACAGCAACTCAATGATTCACCAACACACTTGGAACTGACGTCGGCTCTATGAATTAAATGCGATCTTTGAGTAATATGAGTTTGAGATAACAAAGTTTGACTGCATATTGTACTTAACACAGGTATCGCTGAATGTAACTTGTTATGAATGTGGTACTTAGCACAGTGTACTTGACACCAAATGTTACCAATTTCTGACAGACAATGTTACTTGTCATTATTGTGGTAATTTGACACAAGTATTACCTAAAGCTATTGGTCATAAATATGTTTCTTGACACAGGAAGTATAAAATGTTACTTGTCATAAATGTGGTACTTGACAAAGATAGCACCAGATACTACTTGTGATATGATATATATAGTACTTGACACAGGTAGCACCAGATACTACTTGTGACATGAATATATAGTACTTGACACAGGTAGCACCAAATACTACTTGTGACATGATATATATAGTACTTGACACAGGTAGCACCAGATACTACTTGTAACATGATATATATAGTACTTGACACAGGTAGCACCAGATACTACTTGTGACATGATATATATAGTACTTGATACAGGTAGCACCAGATACTACTGGTAACATGATATATATAGTACTTGACACAGGTAGCACCAGATACTACTTGTGACATGATAAATATAGTACTTGACACAGGTAGCACCAGATACTACTTGTGACATGATATCTATAGTACTTGACACAGGTAGCACCAGATACTACTTGTGACATGATATATATAGTACTTGACACAGGTAGCACCAAATACTACTTGTGACATGATATATATAGTACTTGACACAGGTAGCACCAGATACTACTTGTGACATGATATACATAGTACTTGACACAGGTAGCACCAGATACTACTTGTGACATGATATACATAGTACTTGACACAGGTAGCACCAGATACTACTTGTGACATGATATGTATAGTACTTGACAAAGATAGCACCAGATACTACTTGTGACGTGATATATATAGTACTTGACACAGGTAGCACCAGATACTACTTGTGACATGATATATATTGTACTTGACACAGGTAGCACCAGATACTACTTGTGTACTTGTGACATGATATATATAGTACTTGACACAGGTAGCACCAGATACTACTTGTGACATGATATATATAGTACTTGACACAGGTAGCACCAGATACTACTTGTGACGTGATATATATAGTACTTGACACAGGTAGCACCAGATACTACTTGTGACGTGATATATATAGTACTTGACACAGGTAGCACCAGATACTACTTGTGACGTGATATATATAGTACTTGACACAGGTAGCACCAGATACTACTTGTGACGTGATATATATAGTACTTGACACAGGTAGCACCAGATACTACTTGTGACGTGATATATATAGTACTTGACACAGGTAGCACCAGATACTACTTGTGACGTGATATATATAGTACTTGACACAGGTAGCACCAGATACTACTTGTGACGTGATATATATAGTACTTGACACAGGTAGCACCAGATACTACTTGTGACGTGATATATATAGTACTTGACACAGGTAGCACCAGATACTACTTGTGACGTGATATATATAGTACTTGACACAGGTAGCACCAGATACTACTTGTGACATGATATATATTGTACTTGACACAGGTAGCACCAGATACTACTTGTGTACTTGTGACATATATATATAGTACTTGACACAGGTAGCACCAGATACTACTTGTGACATGATATATATAGTACTTGACACAGGTAGCACCAGATACTACTTGTGACGTGATATATATAGTACTTGACACAGGTAGCACCAGATACTACTTGTGACGTGATATATATAGTACTTGACACAGGTAGCACCAGATACTACTTGTGACGTGATATATATAGTACTTGACACAGGTAGCACCAGATACTACTTGTGACGTGATATATATAGTACTTGACACAGGTAGCACCAGATACTACTTGTGACGTGATATATATAGTACTTGACACAGGTAGCACCAGATACTACTTGTGACGTGATATATATAGTACTTGACACAGGTAGCACCAGATACTACTTGTGACGTGATATATATAGTACTTGACACAGGTAGCACCAGATACTACTTGTGACGTGATATATATAGTACTTGACACAGGTAGCACCAGATACTACTTGTGACGTGATATATATAGTACTTGACACAGGTAGCACCAGATACTACTTGTGACATGATATATATAGTACTTGACACAGGTAGCACCAGATACTACTTGTGACATGATATATATAGTACTTGACACAGGTAGTTGGTAGTCCAACATACAATTAGCCTTATCTAAAATATCTTTATTATCCTGATATTTGATATACATACCGAATTCTGTTCTTCCGAAAAAGTTCATCAGCATATGGAAAACGAAAATAAAAATCAATTATCCCTGAAGGCAGCATTAATCAGTAGTGTAAAGACTATGATAGGAAGTGACCCCTGATACAGTAACTGTTCACCTAAGGGTGGATATAGATTTCCTGGAACACAATCTTTTATGTAGAAATCGGATTATTTGTTTTATGTTTACAATTGCAGTTAACAATATAGGAATCTGATGACAATAGACATTAATCATTTTTAAAAACTGAAGCTACATAATTATACTGTATATGCAAAACACATAACTATAAAATAAAAAATAAAATGGATGCTAAACTTTCAAGTTACATCTATATACATGTCTTACTATGGTTTTATGATGACTTCAACATTTAGCACGGACAAATATTTTCATTTGAGGGTAAAACAACTCAGGTAAATGTTTTTTTCTGTTTACACTAATTAGCAGTTTTCATATTCAAATCGTGTAATAAGCCTGTGGGACCAACACATAAATTTTCACTCAAAGTACAGGGTGGACGGAGTGCAGGACATTGCTATATCATTGGATAAGAATTTTACTGGACAGTAAAAGACATAGATGGGCTTATTATCAGGCATGTATTGGGTTATGGCTGGATAAAAACATGGGTACACACCAGGCTAGGGAATCAGTTTCTACAATGGAAATCACACTTACCGTGAGCTGTGACAAGCTGAGACATTTTGGTGAGGATGGTGTTGCCACTGGCATCGCTGGTGGTTGTGACAGCCGTGTTGTAAGTGTAAGTTTTGCCACCACTGCTAGATGCTGGAAACAGTTGAACGTGCATGTTATGTACAATTAATGGAAACTAACAGGCCAGAAATTAACTGTAGACCTACCTCACATAACTATTGCAAATGTGTGTTTATAAACTGGTAAGGGTACATACTTTAGCAGTGATTTTATTTTAACAATTTTTGCACTGAATGTATTGTTCTAAAATACAATAGCACTTATTGCAATTTCTTGATGTTTTTTATATAGCAATTAGACTGGATGTGCTGTTCCATCATTGTGCTAATTTACTAAAACGTGATACAAAATATGCTAAAATTTGTTTGTGCCCAATGATGGACATTTACAGTAATTTTGATTTTTTTTATTCATCCATTCTAGCACAGAAAACAGGTGCCCTGACCACATAATTCAATTTTTCAATTGAAATATAACAAAGGTTTTACAGTGAAAATTTTCATTAATTTTTTACCAATCAGATCACGATATTTGAAGAGAAAATACATCCCATTTGAAATTCTATGAAACAGAACGACACAAATTTCTATATTTTTAACTATCCTTGCCAATTATTATCAAATTATTAGAGTGTTATATGGGTCACATTGAATTACTTTATGTTAAATTATTTGAAGACTTGTGTCCAACATGTGGAACTATATTGTCCAAAGGAGAACTCTGGAGTTATGTAAATAGACAGAGAAGCAAATTTCAAGTGGCAATGACCAATAAAAGGTCAGAAAAAAAAACCTAAAAAACAAAATTAAACAACGATTGTGATTCATCTGGAGACATCTACATACTTACAAAGAGAACATATTCCCCCAGCAGCAGACAGAGATGTACCAGCAATGTATCCCATTCCATAAATGTTACTCAGGCCCTGGTGGGTAAACAAGTGTACCAGACAAAATTCTCTAAACGCTGCACTTTCACTGAATGTCTGAAAAATACAACCAACACATACACACACTTAATTGTCAGAAATATACACGGTGTATCTAAAAAGAGTTATTTCACAGCCGTAGCAAAATTTTCCATCACATTAAAATTTGAATATTTTTAATTTCAGACAAACGATAAACTGTTATCATTAATGTAAGTAATCAACAGGTTTGTATTAAGTTTGATCTTTATAAAAGTGATAAAAGAGAGATATTGGCACCCATCATCATGACCTTCCCTGATTTTGCTTTTAATTCTATGAAATTTTTACATTCCTCTTAAGAAATAGCAATAATAATATTTAACAGCAAAATCAAAGATGGTCTCCTTTTAGCCATTATTCTTTTTCTAATCAGTCCCAAATTTATAAGGGCACAACTAGGTACCAAAGGGTGCCTATATATGAAATTTGAGAACAATCCATCCAGTTCTTTTCAACAAAAAGTGATAGCAAACTTTCATTTTCAAACTTCAAGATGGCTGCTGGTGGGCCATTTTGTTTTCTTGTCAATATGTAATTTCACTCAGGGAACTTGACAATTTTCAACTTCTTAAGAAACTATGTAATGCATACATCAAGGAAGTAGAGCAGCCATTTTAAGAATGAAACGCATTTTATTATGACATGTAAAATGTGTGTGGCATATTTTAGAGAAAATATCTTAAGATAATATCAAATATGTTCATTTTCATTTTTCTCTTGCACAAAGTTAACTCATCTGGTGTGCCTATAATATAATCAGCCTTATGAGTTGTATTAAGTATATCCTTTTAACATTTTCCATGTCTTTCCTTGTGTAGAAGAAACTGAATTAAGATATATGGGTATCTGTAAACTGTATTGTTTCAATGGCCCAAATAGATAAATGTATCGTGTCATCTGTACGACCATATCAATTATTAGCATAAGTTGACAAAACATCTAGGATTTATTATCTTACCGACAGGAGACCAGTCATGTCTGACCATGTTGGCGTGGCAACATTATAAGGGAAACCAGTTGAAGGACTGAAACCCTCATGGAGTCGTAACTGTAAAAAACAAACCATAAACACGGTTCAATAAACCAGAGAAAAAAATGTCTGATTCTTCCTTCCGTCATTATACTAACTACTGATTTATTTCTTGATTCCTTGGTAACATCTTTATGGAAATAGGCCCATACATGACAATAAGCCCATCCATTTTTTATCATTTCATTCCTAAACCAATCCTATAATAACGATTTCATTTTTCTGTGATAAGCTCACAACCAACTGCAAAAACAAATACTATATAGTATTTCATTGTCCCGTAATATCAAAATACTACATAATATTTCATTGTCTGGTAATATCAAGATACTACATAATATTTCATTGTCTGATAATATCAAAATACTACATAATATTTCATTGTCCCGTAATATCAAAATTTCATTGTCCCGTAATATCAAAATACTACATAATATTTCATTGTCCTGAAATTTAAAAATACTACATAATATTTCATTGTCCCGTAATATCAAAATACCACATAAAATTTCATTGTCCCTGTAATATCAAAATACTACATAATATTTCATTGTCCCGAAATTTAAAAAACCTACATAATATTTCATTGTCCCGTAATATCAAAATACTACATAATATTTCATTGTCCTGAAATTTAAAAAATACTACATAATATTTCATTGTCCCGTAATATAAAAAACTACATAAAATTTCATTGTCCCTTAATATCAAAATACTATATAAAATTTCATTGTCTGTAATATCAAAATACTACATAATATTTCATTGTCCTGAAATTTAAAAATACTATATAATATTTCATTGTCCCGTAATATCAAAAACTACATAAAATTTCATTGTCCCTTAATATCAAAATACTATATAATATTTCATTGTCCTGAAATTTAAAAATACTACATAATATTTCATTGTCCCGTAATACTACATAATATTTCATTGTCCTGAAATTTAAAAATACTACATAATATTTCATTGTCCCGTAATATCAAAATACTACATAAAATTTCATTGTCCCGTAATATCAAAATACTACATAATATTTCATTGTCTGGTAATATCAAAATACCACATAAAATTTCATTGTCCCGTAATATCAAAATACTACATAATATTTCATTGTCCTGAAATTTAAAAATACTACATAATATTTCATTGTCTGGTAATATCAAAATACTACATAAAATTTCATTGCCCTGTAATGTAAAAAATACTACATAATATTTCATTGTCCCGTAATATAAAAAACCTACATAAAATTTCATTGTCTGGTAATATCAAAATACTACATAAAATTTCATTGCCCTGTAATGTAAAAAACCTACATAATATTTCATTGTCTGGTAATATCAAAATACTATATAAAATTTCATTGCCCTGTAATGTAAAAAACCTACATAATATTTCATTGTCTGGTAATATCAAAATACTATATAAAATTTCATTGCCCTGTAATGTAAAAAATACTACATAATATTTCATTGTCCTGAAATTTAAAAATACTACATAATATACTACATAATATTTCATTGCCCTGTAATATGAAAAATACTAAATGGTATTTCATTCTCAAATTCAAGACCCCACTTTAGAAATGTGCTTTAATTAGCATCCTGGGCTTATTGCAGGGAAAATATGGTGTTTTTCTTGAATATATAGCAATCAATATGTTAATATGTTAATGAATGTGAATATATCTCCCTTTTATGTATGATTCTACATTAACAAATGCTGCAAGGGTCCAAAATACATACCTGTTCCAGCTCAAAACCATACCCTGTGCCACCGAAGTTGGTTCTTTCATAAATAGCATTGGCTCGATTTATCACAGAAACCTAAATTCAAAATAAACATTGATGCCAAAATTAATTGTAAGTATTTTAAATATTTGATAAAAAAAGAAACAAACATTGTTGTGTGTCTACTAATTCAAAGATTAAGATTTGGAAAAAACAAGACAACATCGGGTGAGTTGGCAACACTGCCACGTGTCTGACCTACTAAAATAACTGCCTGTTGTATATTTAACCTATGACCTACTAAATAATTGGTATATATGACCTATGACATATTATATCATTAGACGATGTATATTTAACCTATGACTTACTATATAGTTGGCTGTGGTATATTTGTTTGAGCCCCCTATGATACTGTAGAATCTATAATCTGCCACTGCCATCAGTCGACAACGTCTACTGGCAGCACGCTTGGAACGGTGGTGTTCATCTGCAAACCAAAGGTCACAATATCTTATTTAAATCTTAAACCTTTTTGTTTTTGATTAAAATTGCACCAGATTTAGAATTGTTAAAACATAACCATTGACTTTAAAACAGAATATGTTAAGTGACATGCATTGTATATACAAAGTGAAAGTAAACATAACATACTTAGTTCTTTGTCCTTCATTTGACGAAGAAGATCTTCATCAAGCTCATTATCCGGTGCCCCATCTGCATGTTTTGCACCACAAAATGATGCCCTGAATGAAATAGCACCATGAGATTTCAAAAGCCTTGATCAATATTGAAAAAAATACATATATAACTGCAAAATAATATTAGTATATTCAACAATATGAGAGACATGCATGCATGATATTCAAAACAGGCAAATTTCTCCACTTGGCCCAATGGACCTGCATCACTCACCTGGTATTCAATGTTCATCACAAATACATAAACAGGTGTTGCACCTTTGACATTCAAAGTGGGAACCTAATATCCACAACAAACTTTAGATTCTTACACTCAGTTCTAAACAATGGCAGTTTTAACCTGGAGTGAAGGTTATATGTTATTTCTATTTTTGTTTGTTTGTTTTGGTTTGGCTTATTTCCTCAAAATCTTATGGACTTTTACCTACAAAAACCTTTCCACCAGATGTTCTGGTACTGGCCCTCAGACTTTTGGTTTATTAGAAGAAGTCTTGGACCCCAGTGACCAAGAATATGGTTCAAGGTCATTTCTATTAGCAAACTTTGTTGGGCTTCATCCCAGAGACCTACCTGCCAAATATCATAGCAAGTTTGGTTAATCAGAAGAAGTTGTTTAAAGATTTTAACAAATTTGACCCCTGTGGCCTTGAATATGAGTCAAGGTCATTTCTTTTCCCAAACCTTGTCAGAGTTCATCTCAGGAATCTTACAGCAAAATACCAAGCTTTTGTGCCTTTTTGGTTGATTAGTAGATATTGTTTTATGGTTGTAACAAAACACAACCAGTAGAAGGTTAGAGTGTGATGTTTCGATGACTACACGGTCACCTTCATCTTATAACACAACCAGTAGAAGATTAGAGTGTGACCTTTTGATGACTACACGGTCACCTTCATCTTATAACACAACCAGTAGAAGATTAGAGTGTGACGTTTTGATGACTACACGGTCCCCTTCATCTTATAACACAACCAGTAGAAGATTAGTGTGTGACGTTTCGATGACTACACGGTCACCTTCATTAAACATATAACCAGTGTGTGAGACATTACCAACCTGAAGAAAATGTTCCAAAATATCGGAGCATCTTATACAATTTTTTTTTACATGTAAATATGTCAAACCCAAAATTTCACCCTTTGTTTAAACATTGTTTTATTCAATCTATTCAACAATGTTACACATACATGTATTACATATGGGATAAGAAATCAAGCTTTGAGCTGACATTGATTCCTTTAGCCATATGACTGCATGCTTTTGTAGTTGACACGAACTTTAACAGTGAAATGTGATGGAAATGATTATCCTGATAAATATTTATGAAGTGAAAACTAACAGAGAACAAAATAATTCAAATTCAGTCATTCTTCAAATAAATCTGACTCAACTTTTAAAAAGTGTCCTTATTAGCATGAATCATTTCTAACTAAAAAAATAATACAAGATGGTGACCTCAAAAGTTCCATGGTGAATGCATGCTGAAACATGACAGAAAACCAATGACATATTATACCATTCCTATTGATACAATCCATGGACAGCTCAGTGACTTTGTGATATTTTTATTTCTATACTTACACCTTGAATATTAGAGAGAGCAGATAAAAGAAAATGGTTTTTCCATCATTTTAACCTAGATGTGTGATCTACATGATATCATACTAACAAGGCCATGAAGTCACACAATCTTCAACTTTAAAGATCTTTTAACATATTATATAAACATATACAAGTTATCACATTGGAAATTTTTATATGTGTTAACATTTGACAGCAAAGTACTTATCAGAAGGATTGAGGCATCTGGCTGAATAGGACAGCAAATTAATAATTAAATCTTAAAAGCAGAAGTTAATCTCATACCTACAAAACTTATAGCAAAATTGAACGATGAGACATCATCACTGACAAACCCAGGTCAGCTACAGAAGCAGGTAAAAACTGCTGTAACTGAAGCATCTCAAACATCCTTAATTACAATTGTGAAAGATGAATTCCTGGTAAATATAACCTATACAATGTCTGTCAGACATATATAAGAAGCAATAGTTGACATTTCTATAAAAAGTTTAATAGAAATCTTTAGAAAACTTGAGTGGTTAGAACGAGGATCTGGAATGTGACATAGATCTACTGAAATAACACTACATACCCTTCTTGTGTCTGGTCCTTAGGTTTAGGCATAATCATATGTTTAGTTCTGTATACAATCATAGAGTTATCCCCCTTCATTTTCTTCGCTCCATCATGTCTCCATTTTGGCTGTGGAAAATCAGACAAAAATTGATTTGAAACACATTGAATACAGAATTTACCCAACATTCTCATACTGACATTTTATTACTTAGTTCTGTAGATTTTATTTTGAACATCAGAATAAAATTATTACCAATGCTTGACCAATTTTTGAGAGCATTGTTATACTAACAGAAATAATAATGTTTACACAGCATAATTTTTGTAGGCATTTTAGCTTTTAAAAATACATCATCTCAATTATACCCAGAAGATATCCAATTCTCTGAATTACAAGAGTCTTAACATTATTAACTCCCTTTAAAGTGTCACTCTTTAGATTACTTACTTCTATCACTAATTCATCATGGTCCAGAAAGATGGAGGCTGTCATGGCATCCCCATCAAAATAAGCTGTCACATCTGATTTATCTTCACCTGAAAATAAGATTGAAAGTTAGTGATAGGGAAATTCTTGTGGGGTATAATATAGTGGAATTCATTATTTTACCAACATTTGTCAAGTCTATGTTTTTATTACATGAGAGTTCAGCAATTTTTTAAAGAAAAACTCATACATACTATAGTAGCTACAAATTTAAGAATTACTGAATATAAAAAAAAAAAGGAAATCAAGATATGCTGCCACCATCTGCCTGCTCAGCCTGAATCTCACATTGCTTACAAAAAGTTAAAAAAATCATTAAATGACAGCATTAATGTATGCAGAAATTCTTACAAACACGAAAAGGTGATCTTGATATACAGTGCATAAAAATATTGTTTGGCTAGTCCAATTTTTTGCGATTTCCTATTTAAACAAGAAAATTATATTTTACAAACCAAGATTTCACAATCTGGACATAAAATGACATTTAATAAATGTGTCTCTTGAATTCAAATGTAAAATTTTTGCAATAATGTTAATGTACTGCAAAATATTAAAAATATCATCCTCATGAAAATAACCAGACATATGTTATATATAAATGTTTATAAGTTAGGAGTCAGGCCATAAATGGTACCAATGGATTGTAATACAGGTAATATTTACTGCAGCAGCAAAACTTTATAAGCATGACTAAAATAGTTATTTATAGATACTAATATCAATGAAAAATTACGGAAAATCACTATTATATAAAGCTGAACAATGAGGGACTGACCATCTACCCATCCATGGTAAAAGTTAGACTTATCAAGTCCTTTGTCCTCCCTCATGTGACCTTCAGAGTCAATCACTTGGAACTTAAAATCACTGGAGAATATTCCAATAGATTCCTTAAGTTGAAGGGTGAAATTTCTACAAGAAAACAGTCATATGTTTACTCAAATATTAGCATGAAATATTTTTTATATCAAAATTTTAATGTCTGAATTATTATGACATTGTGAAATAGAAGATCTGTTGATATTAGAAAATATGCCATTGTATATCTTAACAAGGAGGGAGTTGCGAGAGAAGGGATTACTGATGTCTTAATGTCAGTCATTTTTTGACTGACTTATTTATCTTGTTTGTAAACTGTTTTATATCTATATTACCTAGTTAGTGATGATAGGTCCTCTAAATTAAACATAGAGGAGAATTTAGTAGAGGGATATACTCTCTGGTAATTCAGTACAGGGTTCTAAGATCCTGACAGTCTGTTGCCTTACCTGCTCATGGCATAAAAGCTAACATGTCTGCTTGGTCGACGATATATTCCATCCTCTGAACTCCTCCGCTTTATGCTATGAACTGTAACAGACTCCAGTACCTCATACTCAGTCAGATGGTCTCGGAGGTCAGCTGATCAACATAACAAGATTGTTAATGTAGCAACATCTTACATTTTATGCTATCATTTTAATTTTAACAAAGATTCTGGAAAAGCTTGGAACCCCTATGCCCCTTCCTACAAGATGTCCCTGCATCTTAGAATATATATTGTATGATCATGAATGTCTCAGCTTTTTTTCCTGAGGCAGATAATCAATTACAGCCACAAACAATTCTATTATGCCTTATATACTAATAACAGTAGTAATGCACTCGCCTTTCACCTAAGCATTCCAGGTTCAATTTCTTGAATGGAAGTGGAACGGTCAAGGGTCATGCAACTACCTGACCATGTGGGTTTTCCCTGGGTGCTTCAGCTCCCTCCCACAATTAGACCATTCACACACTTACATTAGGGCCAATCAATAAAAAAAAAACACAAATCAGCTAGGCTGTCAGTTCAATTAATAATTAATTGTCTATACAGTAGTGTGGCAAGGTAGAAATACTACTGATTACAGGAAATCTCACTAAGGTTGCTAACAACACACTCTTCATACAACATGGTGGAGAATCAGATATACTTGATATGAGATATCATGGCTATCTATTAAACAATATGTATTGACTTGTGTCATAACTGATTCCTCCAAAGGACAATTTCTTTCTAGTCATACCTTTCACACTATGTTCATGTATTTGTGAAAATACATGTTCTGATTTCTAAATCTCTTGATCGTTTTCTGATTATTAAATGGTTTTATCAAATAAGTGGTTATCACTGATTCAGCAAATAGGGATCAAGGACCATTCCATGCTAAATGTAAGGGTTGGAATGACTGTATGTTTAGATTTTAGCACAAATCGGTGAAATGCATTGTGCTCTCACACATTCTCTTTATCATGGTGTATGTAACCCAACCAACCATGCTCTATATATATCAAACTAAAACATATAGATTTTATATTCACACTTTACCTCATCTCCTCCCCCTCCCCCCCCCCCTCTCCCCTCCACCCTTTCCACCCACCCACCATATAGACAAAAATCAACACAACAGGTTCATTTCAACGTTATCACTTTACTAGTATTCAGTAATTAGCTTCCGTGAGTATTTGGCTTGTATTCTCCGACGATAGATGACAATAACAGACAATGTACATGTATATTACCAGATGTGCAGTACCCAGTGGCCTGTTTAGAGATGTGTTATTCATATTATTAAGCTATTAAAAACTCCCAGAAAGAAATCATTTGTGTTAATATCATCAGTTTTATCGACATCTTACCATACGTTCCGTCTAAGACGAGTGTGATAAGAACACACACAGAAATAATATTCCAAACCATCCCGTAAGCTTTCTCTACGCAGTCGACATGTTTTCATTGGTAACGCGCGTACCTGCCGACAAGGGAGATCACTCTATTTTGTTTATATCTGTTTTTCAATGTATTTATTTAGATATACGTCTTTGAAACTTAAAGCATATATCATATGTGTTATATATGTCTCTGCTTAAAGTGTAATTCATTCAACGACGTTTAAACATTTTCTATGATAATGATGGTGATAGATAGATAGATATTTAAAGCTCGGAGAATCAGAACGCACTCCTGTAATGAAAAAAAACATATGTACTTCCTCATGGGTGTTGAGATAAATTGAATATAGTCTCAAATACCTTGTTCCGATATCCGGTTCAAGATCCGGGTGGAGGCATAGCAACAAAATCTATTCAAATGAAATCTGCAAGGAAATGACCAACCCTGTAACATGTTAGTGTTGACTCACACGTATGTTTTTATCAAATAGATGACATCATTGATTTGACAACCCACTCCAATTTGATATCATCGCGAATAAACGCCCCTCTTCTAAGAAGGAGAAGAAGAAGAAGAACGACAACAATAACAACAACATGAACAGCAAAATGAACAACAAAAACTAGTGACAACAACAATTACAAGATACGAACCTTGTCAATTATATAGGAGTTCTGCCAAAATGCATAGTTCAGCACCAATGAGACATTCATTGCCTTGGCTAGAAGAACTCCTGGGACGAACGGACTTGATTGGCAAAAGTTAACGAAATTTTCATCAAATTAATGTCTGTACCTTATTCACTGCCCGTTCTTGATTAAAGAAGAAATTTGCTTTTCAAATATTGTTAAATTGGCTTTCATGATTATACCATTACATAATTTATAGAAAATAGATTAAGAAAATTTCATATTGAAAAGACACTTTAATAGTTTCTAAAGCTATTCAAATGTGTACATTTTCAAGATGTACAAAACTTGAGTGAGTCTTGCTTTTTGACTTTTTTGTCTTTCTTTTATCTTTCTAAATGACATCGCAGTAATCACACGTTTTATATCACGCAAACATGACCATTACACAACTAAAATAGTAGGAATTGCATGATTTGAATCGTCATATTTTAAACACCAGCTTAACATATTTTTGCTATATTTAAATTCTGCTTTTTTAAATACAGTCTTCCGCTGACAAATTGTTCGATGGACCTAGGGCTGAGAAATTTGGGCATTTCCTGTTACATATATGTGAATTTATTCTTTTCTGTAATTACCAAATATATATAATTAAAAACTGTATTTCGTCCTATATACAAATATCGTTGCATTTGGTACACAATCGGTTTGGACTGGTCAGGGAACATTTTGGTAACGACCAGGCTAGACTATCACGAGTCAGCTGTGTCGGCTGAAATACAGAGTTTCCAAATATGTCTTCTTGAATGACAATTATGAATATTATTGGTGTAAATTAGTATCCGTCTTTAAACATTTATTTGACGATTTAACAATTTTTAACTATACCAATTGTGATATCAATCTTGATGACTACAGCAAGTCTATATTTACTGCGCATGCTCATATGAAAAGGAAACGGTCCAACAGCTGTTTGTTTAACGAAACGATCCAGAGTGACAGACGTTTGTCCGCACACAAGAGATTAATGTTTCTCCGCTCAAAAGGTAAATTGATGATAAAATATAATATCGGTATTACGAAGGATAGATAGGCTAAGTTATCATATTCAGAGTGGAAAATTATTTATTTGAATCTTCAATTTATTTAATATCCATGTTGTGAAAAAAAGACAATGCAAATAGCAGTGAACAATTCATATTGAAATAGCACGCGGACAGGATGTAAACGATGGTATGACAGATCTAGCGAGTGATCTTTGAATGGAAGAGTGAGGGATTATTGTGTATAATACTCTAGAAACATGTGGTTATGATGATTAGACTGGATTTCTTTTTGTCACAATTTTAATGAGGAAGTTTCAGATCGATTTTAACACGACAAAAAGGCACGTGGGTATAGAACGTGCGCAACGTTAACCGACACAGCCGTTTATCTGGTTAATGTTCACACAATACTGTCACATATAAAGTCTTTTATATAATCTTTAATGAAATCTTATCTGTGGGTTTGAAAGAAATAAAACTAATATTCATAACGGTATATGAGTTACACTTGTAAACATATCTAAAATTTATTTTCCACACGAGTAATATTTACAGAAACAAAAATACAAATTGATCTTTTGTTGAAAAGTTCACTCCTAGTCTCGATCAAAGACAGAATATAATTAAAAAATGTGTCTCCTCAGACGACAGAAAAATATATATGCACAATACAGTATATGTTATTTATTTGTTGCACATCACAGTACACAGTAATAAAAATTGGTTATATTTACAAACATAAAAGAGATATCCAGCATGTATCAGCTTATATGACACTCTTCTAAAAAAAAAAATGGTTATATTAACAATAAAAAAGGATTTAAGGAAGGAAAATTTGGTTAAAACAGTTGTAGCTGTAGTAAAAAGATGACTTCCGATATCATTAAAGATTGTACAATCACAGAGAAAATGAACCTCATCTTTAATTTGACCACAGTCACAAATATTGCATAGACAATTTTCCACTGGAGTGTTCATGTAAGGAAATGTGTGGTTAAACTTTTCATGATTAACTTTCAGGTTCCAGGCACACCATTCCACAATGTGATTAATTAGACGTTGTTAGTTTTTAGCTGAAAGAGATAAAAAAACACAATATCACAGACGTAAAATAATGGTATATTATTTATACAATCCACATTGATTCCCAAATTCAACTGCCAAAACTCTTTGATAAAATCATTTGTAAATATAAAAAATAGTGTTTGGGAGATCAACCATCCCTGCTTCAGTCTTTTGTTGACGTTGAACCATTACAAGTGTTGATTTTTTATTTGAAAACAACACCTTATATGTCTTCATTTAAAGAGTGTAATAAATTAAAAATCATTCTAGGTATTGTCCGAGTATGACAATTAAAAAAAAAAAAAGAATTTTGCAAAGGAAAAATGATCAGGTGTGGCACATCATTTCAGCACTGTAACAAACCAATGGAATAAGAGTCATCACCGCACTAACATACCTATATGTTAGGTCTTTGGTGTGGGCAGGGTTGTTTCCCTTTAATCAGGTATCTGATTAAGGAGTATTTTGCTTAATTGTTGTAAATTACCTAATTTTTGTTTGATGTTGGGAAAAACTTTTAGAGTTACATGATTGTTTAAACTCCAAAGCTATAATTTGTGGATAAAATTACGGTTTATATTCTGTTGTCATAACACAGCACTACAAAATGATCAGAATTCTAGACATATATATATTTATATACAAATAACAGTCATCATGACATTTTATATTTTGCCATATTGTCAATAAACGGATACATATCTTGTTTTTACTTAACTTTTATTCATATGTTAATTTACTACTGAAAGCTCGTAGGTTTAGACGGTTATGCATGGAAAAGTCAAGAAGTAAAGAAACAGAATTTTCATTTGAAGTGAATTTAATGTGACAAGATTTTAGCAACATTTAGCTTCTTAAGTACTGTTGGTTGCAAAAATGTATTATTAAGCTCTGTTCATCAATTGTATGATATCTGGAAAGTGTCTTGTTTGTTGCTGTTGGCTAAACATGTCTTTAAAATTGTGATTTTTATGAATTATCTGATAAGAGGTCAAATGGGAAGTGAACATTTATGTCATGTTTTCAAAACTAAAAGTTCAATATCCTCCCACGTAAAATCTTTGATATATATATATCAAAATGTAATTACTGACATATATATATATCAAAATGTAATTACTGACAGTCGTTAATTGAGATTGAACACCTTTGATAAGAGAAATTTTCTTATGGTTAGTTAAAAGGTTTGCCAGCAACAGGATGTATACATAAAAGTTGTGTTATGTGCCTAACAGGATACTGAAGTTTCTGTAAATATAAATTCCGGGTACCTGTGGTAGATAAGATTTGACAGATGGTTACAGATAAAAAGTGATTTAACTATTTAAAAAATTTCCATGAAATTAAATGTCATTGCTGTTAGAAAATAAAATGCGAACTGAGCAGACAGTTTTTACATTTTTTGATAGAGTTTTGAAATGGAGATTACTAAATCTTTCATGCAATAAGTCAAGCAGATCACTGTACTACCTCTTACTCAAAATCTGTTCTTATTACAGGACATAAACAAAATATTATTTATAATTTTACTGAACAGAAATATTTATGTAATTGAGTTTTCCTATTTTACCAAGAATAGGCATGTTTTCAGGTAATATACCATATTAATTGTAATAAATATCCCCTTCCTTATAAAACATTCCCGTCTCTTTATTTCAGAGGTTTTCTTCTTGTATGGCTTACCATATAGTAAAATAAATCTCCATGCATGTGCAGTTGAATTCCAAAATATACGAACCTGTATTTCCAAAACAAAATAATCTTCAAGGCAATTACAAAATTAACACAATTTCTATTTATAAAAGTGCTAACATGGGGTCAAAAGTGAGTATTTCGTAGCTGTCATATAACAGCTCACTCTCCTTTAGAATAGATACGGTGATTGTTAATTTAGTTAGTGATATTAGCTCCGACTTACACAGTTTTGTTTAATCAGTAGTGTAACAGGAAAAGAGTAGTGTACCTTCATCAGGAATTGAACCTGTGACCTTGGCATACTAGTCCACTGCTCTTACTAATGAAACAAAAGGGAAATTCCCATGATCTCTTGTGTACAATTAAAACCTGCCACATTACTCCCATCTTCTAATTTGTTTACCAACGAAAACCACATCAACCAAGGTTCTCTTGTTCCAACAAGTCCTCCCAGTCTCCTCCCACTAGCATTTAGAGTGTCTACAACAACAAAGTTACCAGGAAGGGATTAGTGTGCTTCTACTGGTGATCAAACCCGAAACCCTTTGCTATGCTCTGCCTATTGAATTAAAGCAAACTTCCTTCTTGTGTAAAGCTAAAAGTCAACCAAATCTGTAAACTTGTGCTGGAGTAAAACTTGTCACTGTAGTATTGACAGTAGAGCGAGGGATAATGATGTCTACAGATAGTTTGTCATGTATACTTACTAAACCAAATCAATTAATTCATAACTCAATTTTCAATGTAGAACTGACGATTTAATGTCAACAGTCATTTCAGCAAACATCTGAATGATACTGTTACTAAAATATCAACACTGAAAAACTCCACTGATAATGTGTTTTTATGTTTTAGTCTGGATTCCAGTTTTAGACATATTAATAGTTACTGTTAATTATTTCTGTTTTAATTTCCAGGGACATCCATGATGTAGATAGATTTTTATTCATGTAAGTATTATTTGTTGATTACACTCTAAAGTGACGGTTAAGGGGGGGGGGGGGGGGTGTTTGTCTAGATATGTACTGAAGTGAAATTCACAATACGTCAACATTTATCATGTTTATACTTTTGCTGACGTACGTACAGTAAAAAAAGCTTTCAACCATTGAAACTAGGACAAATTCTCTGATATTGAGATTGATACGAGAAATTGCTTAAAAATATAAAGTACTCATCACCATTTAATGGATTGACTGAAAAAGAAATTTACATTGACGGTAGATATAACTTATTTCAAAGATGGCTGCTTAACAAGAAGGAATATCCACTACTACATAAAACCAGTGAAATGGGATGTTAGGGAAAAACAGTGTTAGGCCAAAACACAAGTGTTTTTACATACATACATAGAAAATAAAGGGTTGTAAATTAGTTCAGTTTCGTTTGTTGGGTAATCTTGTTGTTTTAAAAATACTTTTACGAAAGATGTTTATAGTAAAGAAATCTTGACTTAATTAAATTTTTCCTTGAAATTTTTTAATTAAAAACTTCCAGGTAGGCCAATAGATCAATTGATTGAGTTCTGAACCTCACAACCTCAGTTGAAGATTTGACATGCATGGTATGCATGGCAGTTAGTTTTCTGAAGAATCTGATCATTAGAAACAGACTAGTGTATGATATAAGTGTTACAAGACACTTTATATCTCCTCCTTAAATATATTTTTTCCTTGAGGTAGCCATAAAACTACTACAAGAAGACTATGCCTTAAACTGACTGGCTATTGACAGTGAAGACCTAGCAAACAAAATTTGAAATATAGATTCTGTCTGGTTAGTATCATATTAGATCTTTTCATGAAAGACACATCCTCAATAATCCAGAGTTACAATCACTTTTACTCTTTGCACCTCTGGGACAGGTCATGGCAAAATTGAAGGTTCCATGTGTGGCACCTTGTGCACAATATGAAAAGACAAGTTTGATCCTTTGATCTACATCAAAGGAATCTTGAGGTTGCATAATGTTATATTGTAATGGTTTTGACATTGGATGTCATTCTTCAAAAGGAGCATATCAGCATGTGATTGGTTAGTTTTTTTTCTCCTGGAGCCAATCAAATTACTTTGCTTGTCCTTTCAATTTTGCCGTGACACGTTTCAGGGGTGTAGAGAGCAAAAGTAATCATATCTCTATTAGTATTTAGGATATGTAAGACTTAACTTGAACACATATTGTACAGACAGAAAAATCTTTCCTTATTTTCCTTGATGTTTATTGGAAAAATCATTGTAACTACTTTGTTTGTGAGGTAGGGTTGTCAATGTGTACTCAAGTAGATAACCTGGCACATCAAACATAATTATATTACCAGAGTATTTGTAGTTTTCCTACCTACAGTTACTGTGAACCAAAGAACCATGTACCCTATATCTCTATACCTTCTAGAGATAATTCAATTGACCATCCGTAATTGTATTTATGTCGTTAATTGATCATGAGAGTATGAACAAGTCAGGCCTCTGGCTGTACTATCATCAGAGCATCCTAACCTGGTGTTGTGTGGGGTTTGTAGCAGATAGTTTCACACCTGTACAGTAATTGTAAGGGGAATTCTCTCTTGTAAATCTGCTGGTATGTTGGGTTTGGTGTGAACATTCAGTTTTGTAATAATACATGCACAATCTTCATAACAAAGTTTCCTAAGATAACTCAATTATTTTAAAACCTTTAACTAGGTTTCATTTAAGACCAGAAATCTTTTTGATAAAATTAAAAAAATTGTTGACCCAACTGGACCATATCAAATTAGTTACAATTGTTTGCTGAAATGAATTAGCTTGTATGTTTCAAAAATAAATCTTAACAATGGACATTTTTACATAAAGACTTTTTGATCTTCAGTTTTCATACAGAATCTAATAGTTGAAACCCTGCAATTTTCAGTTTAGAATGATTGATCCAGAATTCTGTGACTGAAGTGATTTTTCCTATGTTTGTTGAGGCTTGAGGTTGGACTGAGAGCAATGAATTATGAATACAGAGAATGGTTATAAGTTTTCGCTCATTGTGATACGACTAGGACCAGCTATCTTTGTTCAATAGACCAGGTTCTGTCTGTTAGATCAATACCTTTCTTGAGACTCCTGATGCCTGCATGCTACGATTCACAGATTTTGTGAATACATGAGGATCAATTGTCAGTATTAAATAGTTGATATATAGAGAATACATGGTCAGTGGCGAGCCATTTTTTATTTCTGTCCCTAGCGAAAATACAGCTTATGTTTTAAGACACTGACCATATATTCTATCTATCCTGCAACATTGATTGAAAATCAGACTATTGAAACTTAAACAGTTCTGTTGTTCAATCTGTGTTTACCCGACATTGACTTTATGCTGAATATTGCCTGATGACGGATGCCAAATTAATTGCTCTGCATGGAAATATATTTTTAAACTTCCCCTGATATAACAGCAATTTTATGAAATTTTCATAGATCAACATGTTCATTACAACATGTAAAACTGCTTATTTCAATAACTGTTTATATTTCAAAATGTAATATTTCAGTAAATTCAGAGAGTAATTCTGTCAAATTACTGCACATGCTAAAATACAGCTGTTTTCCATCACAGTGAAATACAGCAAAAATATATGTAGCAGGTGTATTTCGACTATGGCAAGTTTTGTCTGTAACTTGTGTTAAAACAACTTTTACACAATGGCCAATGTGAGTGAGTGTGCTTGTATAATAGGTTATCAAGTTTGTTAAATGACTGACCTTGACTCACGTCCAAGGTCACAGGTGAAATGTGTTCAAATCCTGTAAAGACTGCTTCACTACAACCAGGAGATCCAGTGTTATGTTTTTCCACATGAAGCCTGCTGATAAGAAAAATAGATAGTTTGAAATAGACATTTCAGTTTTTAAAGTCTTATCTTATCTCCATGAACTAAAAAAACTTTTATTAGAAATTTTATTGGCCAATCGGACCTCTTGTCTCTTTCTATATTTTAGTTCAATATGGTTTTCAGTTAAACCTGATTTTGGTTAGATGCCTAACTTGACAAAATGCAATACTGCCTGTTTTATTTTATTATAAAATGTTCATCCTTCAAAACTTTTGACACAATCTATAATGGGACTGGCACGAATCAAACATTCATCAAAGGGAACCAAGGTTAGTTCACAGCTTCTTGGTTTGAACAATTTTGAATTGAATCTAGAAATACAATCATTATTTATAAATTCCTTTGATAATTTTGTCAGCAATTCACTTTTAATAACACTCATCATATACAAAAAAGAGATGTATTTAATAAAGGTTCAACAAAACAAATTAACAAATGAAACATGAAGAAGAATTTGTTGGATTGCATTATAATAGAAAGCTTTAAATTTGTTTGGTTGATAGAATTGGCAATTAGGACTAGGTTGCCTTAGCAGAGTTACATATACAAGACTGTCTGAGTGCATTCTTCTTACATAATTTTTCACAATATCAGTCTATTCACCTGATCTGCTATTTTCAATTGATGGGAAGGACTTCGTTTTTCAATCGATTGAGTCAAAGTTGACGTACTGCTACCGTCAGAGTGGGTAGACCCAGTAGTACATTCAGTGGATATATCCACCCTGTAATAATACATAGACATTGTCAATCGTGTTTGTTTATTTTTTGGGTTTTGTTACACATTTTACATGTAGTGACTCACTTATCATTCATGCTGTCTTGTTCCATACCTTAAACCGCCTGGAGGCCACCATTTTAGTTATTTTGTAAATTTAGACCTGACTCAAACCAATTTCAGGAATTCACATTACAAAATTCCAATCGAAAAAATAAAACTGTGATGTGTTGAAAGATTGAGTGCACTGCACCCACTAATGTGTTATGGTCTATGCAGTAGCTTTGTCTGTCCATTGTAAAGTATTAGTCTGGAGATTTTCTCCCACTGTTTCCAACAGATCTATTTCAAATTTAACTAACGGTACCCATAAGTATCATGTGATGAAGGATTCCTCAACAACAGTTTGAGTCAACTGCTGTGGAAGAATTTTACTGCTCCGTGTTGTTTTAATAATTCTACAGAGATCTTCTCCCTCAGTTTTAAACAAAAGTCTTTGGTACACTTTATAATCATTACGTAAAAGTTAGTTTTTTTGCTTTAATGGCATAGTGGTTTATACAAGTTTAGTTCATTGTTTGGCTCTTGTGTATCATAGTTATTCTAAATTAGTACTGAAAGTTATTATAAAGTTGTGTGTCTTTTGTAAATCTTCAATTTGGTTTCCTGTTTTTAAACAGTTGCTTTTAAACTTGGAAGACTCCTGGATTTGTGTTTTTAAGAACAATATTTCTATTGAATGATATTTCAAACCTGATAAGAAAAACTAAAAAAAAATTGCTGACATGTCAGTTTGTTTACAGGCTATTTCTGGAAGTATTTGGCAATCAATTTTAATATGCATGTGCCCCATAGCCCATGTTTGTGCCCTTATAATTTTGGGACAGAGCAGAAAAACAAAATGGCTTACAGGTGGCCATCTTATATTTTTACAATAAAATTTTACACTATTCCTTGTTGAAAACAAGATGGACCTTTTTCAGATTTCTTCAGTGTCCCATGTAATGTGCTCTTTTTGATTTTGAACTGGTCAGAAAAGCGAAAGCTGACAGGTGGCCATCTTGGATTTTGATTGTGAAGTTTGGTATCGCTATTTCTTGAGAAGTACTGGATGGATTAATTTCATATAGCTATTAGTTTCCCATTTTCAGAGGAATTTTCAAAAACAGTGGAGAAAAAAAAGTAGGATACAGATTCTGTGTTTAAAGAATGCATGAAGATCAAATGATAGACACCAAGATTCTCGGGGATCTCAAAGTTGTGTCTTTTATAACAACTATGAATTCCTCATATTACAGTTCTGTGTTTGGTATGATCTTATTTCACTGTGTGTTACATTGTCATCACATTTTTACACCCCAGCAGGGAAACGTTCATTTCTCAAAGGAGAATTCATGCTCATTTCTTAAAAGAGAATTGATGCGGTGGACTGCATGATATTGGCTTTTTCCTGCGGTGTATAGCTAAGAGTGATGTGTTATAACAGTGTACGTAGAAACATATACAGAGATGGATTGGTTCATTGGAAAAATGAAATAAGAACTGTGTCATGATTAACTATGAAACTGTTTCCTGTGTTTGTGATTGCTACAGTACAGCAATGTGGCCTTGTCTTTTAATTGGGAATTAGATTCTGTATACACTACAATTGTTGTCTTTTCTGAACATGTGAGCGTCTTGAAATGACAGCCCAGTTGTCATGTGAAATGTTGCAATGTAAATTCATTTTTAATGAGGCAGTCCTTTACTGTAAATCAAATGCATCAAGAGCTGTTTCGGGAGGAGGGAGGGTGGGTGCAGGGAAGGCTGATATAATAGATTTTGATGCACAGGATGCACAGTCTACTTTTATCACTTTTGTAGTTACAGAGCTGTAGACAGGATTATGAACTGAGAGACAGATTCAGGTTGTTGCTCATGTCTGTGAGATACTGCTGTCTGATTTCTGTCCATAAAAAGGGATAGGAAGTGGATTCATCAGAACTTGAATATTGATGACAACTTTTTGTTATATTACAAAGGATGAGATAGGATGACACTGTCTAACCTCCAAATACAAAATACTCAGATATCGCATTTTTAAAAATATTTAAATTCAAACGTGAATGGAAGTGCATAAACATTCAAAATAATTATAGAACATTTTTCTGCTGAAAGGCCGAAAGCCGGTAATAGTACACGTATAATTGGTTAATTAAATAGATAATTTTTTTGTGCACCCAAAAATGAATAACCAGTGTGTACTATTGCACCTCTGTTCAGTATCAATGTAATATCTCAAAGACGTCAACAGATTTGGTTCATATAGCCCTAATGTATTATATCAACTTCATTCTGGTTTGCATAGGAGTGAGGACATTCTCGTTTTATTAATTTTTTCAAATGTTTGATTTGTTTTACTTCTTTCTTACACAGTTTTCAATTGACATACACTGTATATATTCACATGTGAATGTAGAAATGACACAGAAATAGTCAAGTGTAAAAATTGCTGCCTTCACCAAGATGTGAATTAACAAGATGATTATTCTGAAGGTTTATACCTTAATATTGTGATGATACTTTGGAAAAACCTTCAATGTTTACACAAATGTACTTGATAACCTTTTGTTGGAGTAAGGAATTGAGATATATTCATGTTTTGAAAATATTGATAAAACCAGTTGTATTATATAACAGGTTGAAAGAATAGTCCCGTTGGAATTGTATACACATGCTTACATAGCCTATTGACTGATAAATCTATAATATACCAAAGCATACTGATTTACATGAGATCTTGTTATCCCAAGGAGCTTTCAAGGTGAGGAAGTTGGACCAGGCAGACAAGATCACCAGGGAAATCACTTGGGTGCTGTGTCTGAGGCTGGGATGTTAGATAGGTTTATGTAAGAGATAAAGGCTATAGACCCGTCTCTCTCACCAGACAAACTAGTCTGCAAATAATACACCCTGATCAGTGTACCTCTGTGGTGTGTCCAGACTCACTGGAATGTTAGTCTTTTACAGATTCTGATATATTGAGAAATTCTGATCGATGGAGTTATTATGGTAATGTGTGTATGTGCACAATAACAATTTATGAATTTAGAGATAATTTACACATCACATCAGAAACAATCAAGACATCGCTAATGATGTTATACTTGTTTTTATTCTGTTTGTTCTTTGAGACATGACAAAATAGTTCATGTTCTTGGGTTATATCGAGTTTGTCTGTAGTGTTATATTGTTATGGATTCCTGGGTCCTAGGCATGTATGATAGAGTGTTTGTAACAAATGTCTGTCATATTCTGTCCTGTCCTGTATCAATCAATCTAGTGACTTCTAGGAATTTTGTTCAGGTCATGCAAATGTTAGCTGATAAAACAGTTTGTATTCAAGGCTCCAAAGTTGCTTGGTTGCTTACAGGTTTCCACATGAACATAAGTCCACCTCTGGCTAGGTCAAGGTCACCATTGCTAATTATAGAAATTATCTCTGAAAACAGTGAAATCTGCTGATCACTGTGTCGCCTTCATTTCCTGGAATTTTGATAATTAAAACTACGAAGCAAAATTAAATCATTAGGTTATCAAATGAGTCATCATCATTTGCTACGTATGGAAAATTGTCTGTCAGTTCTGAGTGTCATTAATGTGGTAACTTGGTTTTTGAAAGGAACATGATCAGACGACCATGTTCCTGCATGTCATCTCAGATAAGTCTGTGTCTGGATTTCAACTTCAAAGTCCTCTTGCAGTGACCCGATGAAAAAAAACTTGTTCTTGCCAGGGTTTGAACTGCCTGTAGTTTTGATTCTGTCTGCATGCTCTACCAATTAAAAAAATTGACCAAAGAGAAACTCTCACTAATAGAGGAATTATGTACTCCCAGCTTTTGCACTTGTACTTTTGTGTAATTAGTAAATTTATTTTTATGGTTGTAGAATGTTTTCTCAGCTGGTCGTGGACAAAATCTAGCAACAAAATGGTGTATTGGGGATTGACTTAATTGTTATAATTATTGGCTGTTTGTTTCGTGTGATCAAACGATATAGTATAATAAAGTGCATTTTGTGTAATCAGTTAGAGTATTATTTGACTACATCTTCATTTTCTTTTTCTTGTAGACAAAATTTTGGTTTAAATATTTAAACTGTCGCAATGTGTTTGTACTGTTCGAAATTTGAATCAATATAACAAGTTGAAATAGAACAATTTTGCGTCACATTAATCTTGTAACATAATATATGGTGTAGAATATACATTATATGTAAGTACACACTTTAAAACTGTGGACACTTTAGATTAGATTTAAAGTCAACCTCTCAGAACTATCTCTGGGTACAACGTATGTACCATGTGATTCCATAGATTAGCAGCTATTGAGTAAACACTGACCAGATAATAGCAACATCAATAAACTAAACCATTCTTACAAAATTTATCAACTTTACACAAATAAGTCTTATAACATATTGTATATTTGATTAATGATAATTTACTTATTTTTTCTTGTAATGATAGACAAAACATTTTCTGATTTTTGAAAACTTAAAAGAAGCAAACAAGACGTCAGAATCTGGTTTAAAAGCAATCACTTCATGATAACAAGGCAATGCGGGTATCTATGGCTAGACTAGGGGCTGTGTGATTGTTGGGAATACTGGTTTTATGTACAGTTGTAAGTAGGTCACTGTCATCTTCACCTACATCTGTATGTACCTGTACAGTACTAGTTTATACCCAGGAGAGGCTGGGTAACATGCAGTCACATTAGTCTAGTGCAGTTGAACTTTACAGGTATGTACTGGTTTTGATTTTGAAATTTTAGACAAGATTTGATATAATTTTATTGAAATTAATTTGTTTATTTCTTAAATTTACTAATTGTTATGTTTCCTTGCAGATTATCTATGTTGATTTTATTTCCAGCTGATTTTGAAATTTGATGTAGGGCGTGTTTTATTACCTTATCGTCAAGGGACAAACCAACTTTGTAATGTTAAATCCTGAGTCACATGG